TGAATTTAAAAGGAGTTGGACAAATATAGGCACGCCCTTTCAACTTCATCTTAGAGTTCAGATTAAAATCTCTTATGACAGACAACCCAATCATAATCATAAGGAATCAGTTGAACCTCAGAATTTTAAGTATTAATTCATTTACAGTGATTGATTTTTTTTTTTCTTATTCTTTCTTTGATCAATTGTTTGTTACTTCTATGTACATTAGTTTGACTGAAAAATGGCAGCATATTGTAAGATACGTATTTATAATATTGGCAAATTATATTGGTCAAAACTTGATGATGGATTTGTATTTTTGTTTATCTTGAATTTCGAAATTGAAGTACAAGTGCCTCCATAATTTTGCTTCTGGCCGTACGGAGGTAGCTTCTATGATGAGCTTGGTTTCCTTTTGTTGCTGATTTTTATGGAAAGCTCGAAACAAATTAATTTTTGGGGGTGAACTTTGGAATCCTTCAATTGTGGCCTCCAAGGCAGTCCAAAGTTTCTTGGAGTTTTTTGATACGCAGAGGTGTTGTTTGAATTTGCATTTGACTCCCAAAACTTTTGTTTCCCCTCTTTCTTGGTCTCCTCCCCCTCTAGGCAAAATCAAGTGCAATGTTGATGCATCTTTTTTCCATTCAGCCGGCCTTGGGGGTGAGGGAACTATTTTCAGAGATTCAGAAGGCTTGGTTCTTAAGGCAGTAGTTTTTAAGCAAATTTCGACTCCATCTCCATTGGTGGCTGAAGCCTTCACTTTTAGACTTGCTATCATGTGGGCTCGTGTTTTTGATTTTCAGAAAGTTTGGTTTGAATGTGATACTAAAAATCTTGTGAAAACTCTGCAAGTGGGTTTTAAGTGCCCTTCTGTCATCGCTCCATGTATCTATAATATTTGCATTGATTTGGACCTTTTCTCATGGGTTAAGGTTTCTCATGTGAGGCGGCAAGGTAATTGAGTAGCCCATGCCCTTGCATCACTCTCCTCATCTTGCTTGCGTGTTGATTCTGTTATCTCTTGAATTCCAGAGGAAGTGCTTCAATTTGTGGATTTGGATTACTGTCCTATTCTCTGCTAGTTTTTTTTTTTGCTGTTTGCTAAGAAAAAAAAAAAGAAAAAAGAAAAAAGAAAGTACAAGTGCCTCTTATAGTTGAATTAGTCAAAAACATTGTTTAGAACAGATATGTGAGTTATGACACATTGCACTTGTATGGTTTGGGTGGGTTGTGAGAGTATTAAGTTTTTTAGAGTCAAAATAGGTCAATTTTTTGCCATCAGCAAACACAACTGTGCACATTTCTCAAGTCTTAAATTTGCTCTCAGTAAAAACACAACAAGTGGTGTTTCAAAATAGAACCATTTGTGTTCTCTATGATAAAATTGCTCTCAATAAAAACACAACCGGTGGTGTTTTAAACAGAATCGATTGCGTTTTCTAAAATGTGCCAAAATTCAGATTTTGGTAACTTTCAAGTTTCTCATTTTTACCCAAATACTAATGAAAGTCTTTTTACCTTTTAAAAACGTCTTTTATATATATATATATATATATATATATATATATATATATATATATAAAACACATCTATCTCTAACCTAAGAGATTGATTGCTTCAATTGAAAAATTAAAATTTTTATCTTTTAAATGAACATTGAAAATTTTTGAGAGATTTTTTTGAGGACACACATGTTGGGGATAATTAACTCCCTCCAACCCACTTAACGGTCGGCTGTTGTTGAGAGTTAAATCCCTCCTTCATCACACACAGCGGAAGTATCATCACATCACATTAACACAAGCATATATAGAGATAACAATCATACACATCCACGCACAACATAATATTTTACATGGTTCACCCAACTCTAGGGTTACGTCTATGGGAGAGAGAGATTTCACTATTATGAATCAAGGAAGAGAATATACAACCACATGTCAAAACCCCCACTCACTCACTCATCATCTCTTTTGAGGCTACATGTATACACTCGGGAATTATATATATTCTCCTATCTCCTCACAACACTCACCCTTAAACCCCTTACATCTTTTGTCTCTTTCTCTCTAAACCCCTCATACCCATCTCTATTTATAGAGTCTTCAAAACTCAATTACTTGTTGGATAAGTATATCTCAAATCTAATTCCTTGTTGGACAAGGATCAACTTACCTACAAGGAGTTACCATATCCATCTTCAACTCTAAAATAGCAGGTATAATTTATTTTCCAAATCTTTGGCCTTTTTCCCCAAGTCTTCTGGATTCCAAAACCAATCAGGAAACTATTTCTCGTAGCTTCTAAAACAAAAAAGGAAATTAATTTTCTACACACAAATTTTGAGCCACAAATCCAACAATCTCCACCTAGCTCAAAATTCTATCTTCACGTACTTCTTCATAACTCCACCTCGAACAAGGATCTCTTCATACCTTCACCTCAAGCTCTTCATAGCTCCACCTCAACTGAAAATTTCTCCACCTCAAATAATGCACTATGATGAACTTAAGAAACACTCTAACAATCTCCACTTTTTCTCGAATTTCATCATTCTTCTTTTTTTCTTCTATCTTCTCTATCCATCTCATTGGTGTTCAATTGCTCACGCATGGCAATCTACCAATTTTTAACTCATCTTCGTCAATTGCTTTTCTGGCTCAAAACAACAAACCTCTCTTTACTCTTCATATTCCCCTTTGCTCTTTATCGGTCTTAGAGCAAACCCCTTCATTCTTCACACCCCTTGCCCTATCTTGAGAACTAGCACCCACTCTTGAGTTGTCCTCAAAACTTGTTCCTCGTGGGTTTCACCTCTATCACCTTTGCCCCATCTTGAAAACGAGCATCTTCTGGCTTGTCACAAGACTTGTTCCTCATGGGCTTCACGTCATCACCTTCTTCATACCTTCATGTCATCATTAACTTTGATTGAATCTCCATAGCACCTTATTATCATCCTCTACTCTGACAAACTTCGCAGCAATCTTCTTTTACTAATCTTCAGGACTAATCACAGGCTCTGACCCACCATCGGCTCTGATACTAGTTGTTGGAGATAATTAACTCCCTCCAACCCACTCAACGGTCGGCTGTTGTTGAGAGTTAAATCCCTCATTCATCACACACAGCGGAAGTATCATCACATCACATTAACACAAGCATATATAGAGATAACAATCATACACATCCACGCACAACACAATATTTTACATGGTTCACCCAACTTTAGGGTTACGTCCATGGGAGAAAGAGATTTCACTATTATGAATCAAGGAAGAGAATATACAACCACATGTCAAAATCTACACTCACTCACTCATCATCTCTTTTGAGGCTACATGTATACACTCAGGAATTACATATATTCTCCCATCTCCTCACAACACTCACCCTTAAACCCCTTACATCTTTTGTCTTTTCTCTTTCTCTCTCTAAACCCCCTCATACCCATCTCTATTTATAGAGTCTTCAAAACTCAATTCCTTGTTGGACAAGTATTCCTCAAATCCAATTCCTTGTTGGATAAGGATCAACTTACCTACAAGGAGTTACCATATCAATCCTCAACTCTAAAATAGCAGGTGTAATTTCTTTCCCAAATCTTTAGCCTTTTCCCCCAAGTCTTTTGGATTCTAAAACCAATCAGGAAACTATTTCTCGCAGCTTCCAAAACAAAAAAGGAAACTAACTTTCTGCACACAAATTTTGAGCCACAAACCCAACAACACACTTAAACACGAGAGTGATTAGGTTAATGTTCTTCTACTGGTCAACGATGAATCTTCAGAGTTTACATCAGTTTACAAATTGATCAAATCAACAGGTTTTCTTATAAACCATCACAAAATCATTTATGAAAGAAGAGGAGGTTTCAGTCACACTACGAAGAGATCAATGTGTTCGTGGAGTACTTGTTGATCTACAAGCTATCATTCTATAGGAATAAAGGAAGTAAGCCTGACTTTGAGTGATGTTGAACGGAGGAGTTGCCAAGATGTGTTCAATTGGTTTTTAGTAGAATGAAATGGTGTGATCGTCAGAGTCTATTGTACTTTGTTTCGACACTAGTGAATTATTTTGCTGAGACAACAGAGCTTTCAAGATTTTTTCCAAACGATTGGTAGATTTTCACTAATAAGGGTTTCCTCCGAAAGTGTCATTTCTCAAACTTAACTTTACTCGTTTTACTACATTGTTTATATTTTCGTGGTTGTGGATAGGGCTACAAATAAGACGATCTGAGCTGAGTCGAGCCTTGGGTTGTTCGAGCTCGACTCGTTATCTATATTGCGCTGTTCGAGCTTGAGCGAGCCAAGCTCGGGCTCGGTTACATACCCAACTATCACCAAATCAATCGGTTACATATCCAACTATCACCAAATCAATAAATCATGGTATTTCTGTCGTGAAATCTAGTCTTTGTCTTCGACAAGAGAAACAGAAGAAATACAGAATACAATTTCAAGATTTTATTGAGTCAATATAGAACAAAAATTCAAAATGAAATCAATTATAGAAAACAATTTCAAGATGAAATCAAACTTACAAGGTTTTATTGACTCAATAAAGAAAACTGAAAAGATAGGATCAAATCTTACAACGTTTTATTGATAAAATACATAAAAAAAAATTTCAATATAGAAATCAAACAATTCAAACCTTACAAAGTTTTTTTTTACTTGATTTGCCTGTTCGGAAAAAGAGAGTGTGAGAGAGAGCCGTGTCGTGGAGGGGCTGCCCGCCTGATCACAGGTGTAATAATGAATTCTTAAGTAAAATTTTAAGGTAATTGTGATCAAATTTGTACTATCTAAACAGAGTGTATAGTATAACAACAAAAAATAAAATTTTTAGAGAAAAGTCTTCTTGTGAGGAGGTCAAAGGTGAAAATGCAAAAATCATGAAATAACTAAATTTTTTTAAAAAAATTCAATTCTCTAGTCGGTCATGGAAAAAAAAAAATAAATAAATAAATAAAAATCATTTGTTAAGTCTGTTTATCTGTGCCACTATATATATAACGACGAAGAGGTCAGAGACATTCCACTATATATATTTCTAAGAGGTCGTATGCATTCATATCTGTTAAGTTTCTCTCTCTCTCTCTCTCTTCCACTTCATGCACGTAGAGTGAGAGTGACTACCAGATTCTTCAATGGCTTCCACGAAACGCGAACTACCCAAAGCAGAAAGCGGTGAACCTGAAACCAAGAAGACAAAGTTCGACAAAACGGAGTCGAAAGCGAAGACGGTCGTCGAGCTTAACCCTGCTGATTGCGATTTAGGTAATTTTATCGCTTTGACAACACCAAATCTTGGGTTCTTGATTTCTTCTTTGAACCTCATTTGAAAACCCTAATATGTAGATTTCTGCCCAATTTGGTCGAGTTTGTTTACTATGAATCATTTGCGCGCTCAGTTTCTTACTTATTTGGCGATTGTTCTTTGAATCCCATATGATGTATTTTAGGAACCCTAATTTGTAGATTTCTGTCCAATTAGGTCGAGTTTGTATACTTTGAATCACTTTCGCGCTCAATTTCTCTCTTATTTGAACATTGCATTGCTGATTCGTTTTGACATTAGTAATACTTGGGTGCTCAAATTCTTCTCTGAACCTCAGGGTTTTAAAAACCCTAATTTGTAGATTCCTGACCTATTAGGTCGAGTTTGTTTATTATGAATCACTTTGGCACTCAATTTCTCGTTTTCTTGAATCAATTTGATATTAGACTTTAAAATTTGTGTACGTTTACACTATGGAATTTTTTTTTTAATTTAAATTTTTAATTATATATTGGCTTTTGATGTATTGTAATCTAGATTCTATAATGCCAAATATTATTGAATTTGTAGTTAACTTGCATTGTTGTAAACCCTAACTTTTTGCAGTTCTAAAATAGATGGGATGTAAATATTTGTTCCTGTGTTGAATTAACATGCAAGGAAAATCTAATCCCAAACAGATCAGACATACCTTTATGTAATGATATACTGTATTGAAATTGGTTCTACTATATTATGATTAATTTTTTGAATAGATGAGCACCTTTTAACAAGCTTTTTCACTCGAGTTCTGAAAATTTCTGTTGATTGTTACCTGTGTTCACTCAAGTCTACCTTTTTGTATGAATACCTTTTTACAAGCTTTTTCACTGGAGTTCTGATAATTTCTGTTGATTTTTAACGGTGCTCACTCAGGTCCACCTTTTTGTGCAGTATGTATACTGTATCGATATTGGTTATTATGATTAATTTTTTAAATTGCTGATCACTTTTTTACAAGCTTTTCCACTCGAGTTCTGATAATTTATGTTGATTTTTAAAGGTGTTCACTCAATTCTACCTTTCTGTATGATATACTTTATCAAAATTGGTTCTACTATATTATGATTTATTCTTGAATAGCTGATGGGAAAATTGGATATCCTTTCATCAGATTTCAATGTCGAAGGCAATGGTCTACAAGGTTCTGCACTTCATGAGCAAGGTTTTGCTTATTGCTGGTCTGGTGCTCGTGCCAATGTGGGAATAACTGGGGGGAAGTATTGTTTTGGTTGCAAAATCATTTTAGCCCAGCCAGTTGTAATGGAAGACACTAATCTTGACCAGCAGCATGTGTGTCGTCTTGGCATCTCGAGAGGGGATGATTCAGTGGGAAACCTTGGGGAGACTCCGCACAGCTTTGGGTTCGGTGGCACTGGAAAATTTTCTAAGGCAGGGAAGTTCTCTGATTATGGTGAGAAATATGGGGTTGGCGATACAATTGTCTGTGCTGTAAATCTAGAAAATAAACCATTGGCTTCCATTGGTTTTTCAAAGAATGGGAAATGGTTGGGTACTGCAATTCATTTTAATGCAGGGCCGAGGGGTCTTGGGGTAGTGGACTCTCCAACAAGAAAGCTACAATGGGAATCAGCACTGTTTCCCCATGTTCTGTTGAAAAATGTTGTAGTCCAGGTTCAATTTAGCATTGAAGATGGACTGGTTCCTGAACAAGGTTACAAACCTTGGGCTTCTGCTATTGACGATGGAAATGCAATAATGGGACCCACCTTTTCTAATCAAAGGGATTGTGAAGTGATGATGATGGTTGGTTTACCTGCTTCTGGCAAGACAACTTGGGCAGAGAAATGGGTGAAGGATCACCCTGAGAAAAGATATGTATTGCTTGGAACAAACCTAGCTCTGGATCAAATGAAGGTTTCTGATTTTATTTTTATTTTCTCTTTGTTTTGTTTTTAGTTTTATTTCTTGCTGTTTGTAGGATCCACAAGATTGTTTATTATGTCATAGTTATCTTTCAGATTGATCAATGTTCGACTACTTTCAGGTACCTGGTCTTCTGCGTAAGCAAAATTATGGTGAAAGATTTGATCGCTTGATGGACCGTGCAACTGGGATTTTTAATACCTTATTATTAAGGGCTTCCAAGACAAGTCGTAATTACATCCTTGATCAGACAAATGTCTACAAGAGTGCTCGGAAACGTAAACTGAGGCCTTTTGCAAACTATAGGAAGGTAATCTGAAAATAAGTTGTTTAATCTTTTATGGAGGTCATATGTTATAGAGTGATTTTTTTTTTTTTTTTACTTCCTAATTTCTTTTTGATACATCTTCTGACCTTCACGACCCAAAACAGATTGCCGTTGTGGTATTTCCAAAACCAGAGGAGCTCACGGCTCGTTCAGAGAAAAGATTCAAAGAAATGGGAAAGGAGGTTCCGGCTGAAGCAGTAAATGAAATGTTAGGTATACCAACTAGCAACCACATTAGCTCTTATATATATATATATATATATATATATATATATATATATATATAATATACATATATATTGGGCGCTGTTTCTCTAATTGCTTGAGTTCTTTTCTTTGTTGATGTGACCTGTAATTTCTCTCTGGCAGCCAATTTTGCTTTGCCTGTGAGCAAGGACATGGCTGGTGCAGATGAGTATTTTGATCAAGTAATTGCTCAGGAGCTGGATACTTGATTTTTTGACAATATCTTGATATTGTGGCTAATGCTTCGATGTATGTTTTGTAAAGGTTATGTTTCCAGAACACAGCAGAGTAGAAATACAAAAATATTTGTATGAGATGAAGCGCTCCCTAGAATCCACAAGGAACTCAATGAACAACACTTCACCTTATTCGCGTGAAAGTTCTGTTCAGTCATATGGTACTTCTGTTCAGTCATATGGTACACGTGCAACAACTACACCTTATTCTGGTGGAAACCCTATCCAGTCATATTGTGGCACTTCAATACATAATCAAGGAACAGTACCAGGTTTCCCCTTCCCCCCTCATCTGTGAGTTCTTTTGGAATTGGCAATTGGTCCCCCAATGTTTTTTCATATGTTGATGATATGTTCTCATTTTGGTTCAGTTGCTGGTGGACATTGTCAAAGTTCTCATCCACCCCAGCCTCCGTTGAACTATGGTTACCAAAGTCCTTGGCAGGCAAGTCAAATTTGATTTGTTTTTTGGTTTTATGAATTCGTAATTGAGGTCCGCGTTTCTACATGCTTCTGTGAGAAGCTAAATTTTCTGGTAGCTTCTTTGAGACATGCGTTTATTTATGCTTTATAAATACCCAGTCATTTTTTATTGGGAAAGAGAAGTTTCACTTCTTTGAAATTGATTTGCTAAATTCTGTAGGCGAGCTCTGCATATTTGGGAGCTGAACCACTTGGAAGAACAGAATCATTTTCTTCCAATCAAAGTCCTGCATTGAGAGACGTTCCTTTTGGAAACTACTCAAGCACTGGTGGTTCTCTTCATAGAGGTGACTTCAAAGGGTATGGGAGTTACGATGCATATGGTCACATGAGAAATGACAATGCAAGTAGTATTGCCATTCCTGGGGGTGCTACTGACTCTTATGGTACCTATGGAGCGGGTGATCTCTATAACCATCCCAGCGCTCACATGAGAAATGACAATGCAAGTAGAATTGCCATTCCTGGGGGTGCTACTGACTCTTATGGTACCTATGGAGCGGGTGATCTCTATAACCATCCCAGCGCTCAGAATAGGAATTTTATTCCCGGGGGTGCAACTACAGGAGCTACCTATGGAGAGAGTGCTCTCTATAACCAGGGTTCTTACCAGGGTGGTTCACTCTCTTACAACTCTCATGGTGGACATAGTGGCTCGGGAAGCCCCCTAGTTAATCTGCAATCTCCAAGACAACAGACATTTCTGCAGCCACCTCCAATTACATATGGTAGGTATTTTAACTGGTTGCTTGGGTTTTGAAATCTTGTTCTGTGTTTTGTAGTTGTTTGGTCATGTATTCTGCACACGCTCTCAGGTGTTGTCACAGCAAGCTAATCTGGAATTTTGTCATATAGGGCATCATTTGATTGTTTTATTTTGTTGTCCCTAACTTCATTTTTGTGTCTTCAGATTCGCAATATGCATCTCCGGTTCCAAGGCCTCCAACTGGAAATATTCCGACTTACACACAGTATTCTGGAGGTTATGGTCCGCCTCGTCCATACTGATGGCTGTTAGAATGTTGTCGGCTGGTTGTGAAAACTGCAAGGGAGAGCTCTTGGTTTCATGATGTCTATGGTATAAAGTATAATGGGAACAGCTATAGTTCTAGGAATCAAAAGGTGGAAAAAGACTCAACTGACTGAAACTTTTTCAAGCATTAGCTAGAATCCAAGGCCCTTTGTCATGACTAATATTACTGGTTTGTTTTCTTTTGTGGACATACTACATCTATAAAGCAATATAAGTTTCCACTTTAATCCTTTTGAAATGTTTGTTATTGTTTTATATTTACTCTTCTATAAATGCTTCTGTTGGGCTTTCATTATTTTGTTGAGATGAGAATTTTATCCTTGGATGTGTTGGAAGACAAAACAAAATAAATTTAATTGAATGTTAAAGCACAGGTTAAAAAATATTTATGGTATTGTAGGTTAAAAAATATTTTTCTTGATGGTACTTATTGACAAATATCAGAGGGCATTGCGGTTTGTGGAGGTAGAGGCAAGACTCTGTATATCAAACTCTTCTGTAGTTTCACAAAAGCAGGAGTATCGTGTATTAGGAACTCCGGTGACCTCTACTGAGTTTCAACTTCTCACCTTTCTTTGAATTGGAGAAGTTATACCATTGAGTTAACAGTCCATTGATAATTTGGGTAAAAGTTGGTGTTAGTAAATAAAAAGTACAAGGCTATTATTAGTAAAGTCCATATATATATATATATATATATATATATTAAAAGTCAATGCCTGGAGTACATTTTAAGGGCCCAAAACCATGTGATAATCATGTTGTGACATATTGGCAATGCCACATGAATTAATTTGTTAAGGTCCACCAAACTCTTAAGGTTGAATTATTTGAATTGACTGCTGTGATTTGTTGTCAGCCATAGCTAAAAACCACAATCCACATCATTAAAGCTGGGCTCCCTCTAACTGGCCGTCCAAATGTCTTGTCTTGTCATATTCTAATATTTCATTGATCATTGTATGGCCTTGAAAAAAAAAAAGAAGAAGAAGAAGAAGAAGAAGAAGAAAAGACAGAGAGAAAAGAGTGATGCCATTTTCACACCGAGTGAGAAGTAGTCGGAAATATCGGAGTTCAAACACTTCAATGCATTGTAGTGGGATTCCTTTTAAGAGTACTAATGTCTCAAGCATTGTTCCACCTATCAGTCTATTTGTCATTCTTTTTTAAGAGTCTGATACTATTATGCATTTCATGAACCGGTCAACTCGGTCGGTCTATATTTTAAGAGTATTAGTGTCTCAAGAATGATGCTATCTTCACAAAGAGAAGTAGTCAGAATTAACCGAGTTGAAGCACTTAAATGCATTGAAGTGGGATTCATTCCAAGAGTCTTAGTGTCTCAAGCATGGTTGGACACACTTTCAGGGTCCGATATCGGCATGTTTGTAATTATTTTTTAAGAGTCCTATATCGTTACATATTTTCATGAACTAGTCAATTCGGTCAATTTACACCGATATTTATCTGAGTCTGTTATACTTGGACCGATATACATCACATCTACGGACCATGGTATGCATTGGAGTGTGCTCATAAATGGGCACTATTTATTATTTAAAAAAAAAAAAAAGAAGAAGAAAGAAACCACTTTTATGCTGACGCACTCAAAATAATATCTTTCAATTATATAGATGTCATCTTTATTGTTCAATTCTTTAACAACCTTGTTATGTATGTTGTTGGTGGGGCCTTTGAATTCAGCACAATATTTTTATGGACTAACATCAAACAAAATTTTATTGAAAATAAAAGAGGAGATATTCGCAATAAAAATCATACCACACTCCTGACTCCACTCCATGTTATAGAGTACGTATCGATTATTTTAGTATGTTCTGAAATTAAGAAAGGGAGAATTGAGCATGAAAAAAATATTTATAAAGGAGGCTAGGAGGGTCACTAGCACATGAAAAACAATTTGTGTGTTAGAGATAATTTATTTTAATATTTTTTCATCAAACCCAATTTCCCATTAAAAGATTCTTTTGGAATGTGAGACTCAAAATCATATCTACCAAATCGTCCCACAGGTGTATACTAATGACTCAAGAAAACCAATTCTTTTGCAACTCTTATTTTTTATTTTAATTCAAAAACTCACACACACATTTGTTTTTAATAGGATTAAAAAGAAAGAAGCAAACAATCTCTTTCTATTCATTCTTTCTTCTCTTTCTTCTATTTAATTTTTTTTCTTTCATACTGAACGAAGCATTAGAGAAGTTCACTGTTAACGGTAACATAATGGCATAATAGAAAGGCCATGTAGTCCAATTTGATGCCTTAATATAAAAGAATTTTAACAAGTCCACTTATAATGAAAACGAAGCACTATGAGATTAAGTTTATAGTATCTAAACTAGTGCACATTGGTACAAGAGAAATACCATGGTAGTCATTTAATCTTACGTCACACTTAAAAAAGAATTATAGAATGTCCATTTATTTGATCCACTCATGATGAGGAAACTATGGTAGGAATACACTCTTAACATCACCAAAATTCAGATATAAACTTTTTATATACATTATACATATATATATATATATATATATAGATATATATATATATATATATATATCAATGAATTGGGAAATCAGTAATAGGAAGATACATTTGTAAAAATGCACATTTGGAGTATGTTATGATGCTATTCGATCCGATCCATCTAGCTCCATAAAGGTTTGATCTCTCACTCTCTGAAACGGCATTAATTTTTTCTTGGATCAACATGAAACATTGTGCCTTAACCCATACCGTATAAACTTGTGGTAGAAATTCAGTGTTCCATTCAGATATATAAGGATACAATCCATCCAAGACCTGCATTATTTTCCTTGGAAGTCAAGCTAGGATTAGTGGTAGACCCAATGCTCCACTGTGGAACTTCCACTGTTTCACTTTATTATTGAAGAGAGAGAGAGAGAGAGAGAGAGAGAGTGTGTGTGTGTGTGTGTGTGTGTGAGAGAGAGAGAGAGAGAGGGTGGGGAGAGGAGGGAAGTTGGACCTTTCCATCCCAAATATCAAATCCACAAGTTAGAGAAACCTAAAAGCTAATACGTAGTTTGCATTCATTTGAAGCTTCTTTTTTATGGGGTTAGCTTTTCAACATATTGGGACACATTATCTCTTTATGCTCAGCACATGCAAGCCAAGGGAAGTAATATGCTATGTCTCATATATGCATCCATGTTTTTTTTTTTTTTTTCTTCTTCTTTTGTTTTTATTTCCTTTATTATTATTATTATTATTATTATTACATTAAATGGCAACATTTGAAGAGGCTTGAACAATAGATGAGATATCACTAAGCCACAGGCTTTGAGTGCATCGGTTGAAAGCAGTGCCATCCCCTTATCCTATCCACGCGAGGGAGAACACTTGAATTAGTAATTGCAATTAATTAGCCAAAAAAAAAAAAAAACGTCTTGAAAAAATGTTATTATCTGGTTTGCCTAAGAAAATGATGACATTACCCGTTAGATAAAATAAAGAAAAGAAAAAAAAGAGTATTCCATATGATGGTTGTATTAATTAGCTTGATAGTAATTCCAAATTTGTATATTACGGTAGATAAGATTTCAACAATTTAAAATATCACTTGATCACAAGATCCTTAATTCATTGGATTAATTGGACGTCGGCAAGTCTATCATTACTCATTAAGAGGAAAGTAATAAATGGCTAAATACAGTCCATTTATAAAGGAAAATGACTTTTAGGTTGATTAGTTATATAGTATAAGTTTTGATTAAAATATTATGAAATGAGACCACAACTTTTTATATTTGGTAAAAATGATTAATAAAAAAATTGCATGTTAAGCAATTCCGCCAAAGTTCAAACATGTTTCATTTAAATGTCAAGTAATGCTACCTTTTTGATTTGATACTTAAAAACGAAGTATAAAAGGAATTTATGCCATTTAATTTAAGTAACGAATTCATATATATAAGAATTTGTGCAAATATCACCTCTTTTAAAATTACATTAAGGAAGGGTGATATTCTGAAATCAAAATATGTTCTACTTATTAGGTTCTGATTACATTTTTCTTACATAGATCACAATTTGAATGATAATGATGGTATGTTTGGAACCCAAAATAGGTTTTTTTTTAAATGGTACTAAATGTTAAACCCTAAGTCACACAATCATTTTCGATGGGTGTCACTTTCACATTTCAAACATGTACCCACTCTACATACATTCTGACTCAAATCCTCATTATTTACGACTTAATTCTACAATTGTCACACCCCCCTCTTAAATTTGCTCACTCTTAGTTACGTGACTTGCTTTAAACAGTGACTAACGACCAACAAGTGAGTTGAATAGTCTTCTCACTGTATTTTCATTGTGAAACACACCACCACTCCCCATTAATATTCCATTCTTTCCTTCCTCTTACGCACTCCCCAAAAGTCTCTTCACAAACCTTTTTTTTTTATCCTCTCTCTACGCATTCATGCATATGTATATATTATGTCTATTATCGCATCCCCAACCATCATTTTCCTTTCCATTCAAACGTATTCCATTCTCTCCTCTCTCCCTCTCTGACTTCCCCTATTTTATTTTCTGAATCTCCTCCATATGGAATTCAATTCGACCATGACGTTTCTAGAAAGAACATATTCCTTTCTCTCCACTCTTTCCTCTGACCCTCTCTTCTCAAGCATTGTCACACTCTACACCCTAATTCTCCTCTATTTCCCTCGACTTTTCCTCGGAATTGTTTTCTCCCCGGTTCTGATTTCAACTGGAATTCTCTTTCTTTCTCTTCCTCGATTAGGGCTCATCCAAACGACGGAAAAGGAATTCAATTCCACCGACGCACAACAAACCCATGATTCATCAACAGAGGAAGATCACAAATGGGTCTCACGCGAAACGAGTTTGGGTTTGGATTTGAATCCAAATCCGTTTTACGCCGATTCGTTTGTTGAATGGAACTTGAGAGCACCGTTGGAGGTCATATACGAAGAGTACGAAGGTGAAGACGAAGAAGGAGAAGGAAACGACGACGTTCCGGTCGAGAAAGGAGAGAGACGTGAAACAGGTATCGAGAGATACCCTTCGTTGTCGCTGTATTATCCGGAATCTGACTCGGATGACTCGTCGGACGGCGATTTTCCGGTGATCGGAGGCTGGGACTCGCCGGAGAGTATGGGTTTCAGGTGGGAGGAAGACGGCGGAGATGGGTTGATTGAGATTGCATTGGATGGTAAGAGAACAAGTGAAGTTGAAGAAGAGAACCTGATTGAGATTGACATTTCAACGGCGAGAGATGACGAATTCCGGCGAGAGTTTGATTAAGTTAATCTTGATTAATTAAAGTGTCATTGGAGACAGAGAAAAAGAGATTTTGGATAATTGGGTTTTGAGTTTGGTAAACAGAGATTAGTGTTGTATTTTACCAATGTTTTAGGTGCATTAAGCACTAAATCCAAAGATATAGTACAATGAAAATGACTGATACATCTCTCCTACGGTGAAAGTATCGATGAACTTAATGAACTTAATGGATGTGCCATTTGAGTGTGAAGTGAGGTTTTGGTTGTATGTATATTGTGTGCGTCTTATTATTGAAGCTGTGTCAAAATGTTAGGACTTGGAAGTGCAATCTATCCTGTTTTTTCCTATCAACAACTAGCATAGACAGCTAAGTCATGGATAATGACTTTATTTTAGGTTTTCTATTTTATTTTTGTACAAATAAAAATCGTTATACTATCTAAAATTTCTTTTGCAGGTGAAATATTCTTTTATTTTTACTTTGTCTGTGTTTGATAAAGGGTTACGTGTCCATTAGGCGGGGCATGTAAAATAAGTTACTGAAAATTAAGGAATAAATTATTTTTGTTAAATTTTAATATATATTTTTTCGTAAATACGACAACTAAACACAAAAAATAAAAAAACATTGATAATATTTTACTTTAAAACAAACGGAGTCTTAAATTCAAAAAATTTAGCAAACTCTTTTGTGTGTGTGTGTGTCTTAGCAAACCGGTCCGGGTCAATATTTTTTCCAAAAAAAAAAAATCCCACTCAAATGCTAAAAGCTCCTATTTAGGTATAGGCTAATTTTTTTTTATGAATAATGATAGGGAGACCGAAGAATTAAACCCGAATAAATACAAAATTTGACTTGTTTTTATCCACCTCATCTACTTAAACAGTATCCATGTTAAATTTAATGTTAATTCGGGAATTCCTTTTCGGTTCCTTTATTATTACTCTTTTTTTATTGATAGACATATACAAGTTAGACATTTTTTTAACAATGACAACTCGTATACAGTCCCTAAAAAGAGAGGAAAAGACAAGATTACTCTTCAATATTTAATTAATTTTTTATATAAATTATCAGAAGACTTAAACGACAGAATTACCCTTGATGCATTACTAACCATTGTCTCTCTCTCTCTAAGTTATCATCTCAATTGTTGGTGGTGGCAACGACAACAAAGGACAGTGGTGAACCCAGTAAGAGGGATGATCAGACGGAGAAGATGGAATGTGGGTGTGAAGTGTTTGAAAGGGTACAATTGTGACAATCTCAATTTACTGTTTGGTTTAAATTTCTAGAAATCTAATGGACAATCTCAAGGTGGCTTAGTTAGAAAAGACTTGTGCTCTGGTGTCTCATTAGGTTTTAGGATCGATTCTTACTAGATGCAAACAATTCTTTGGAGGGGTGTGAGTATCAACTAGGAAAAAAAAAAAAACAAAGACACATATTGAGTTCAATTGAATCGCTTGTGTTTGATTCTAATTTTGTTCCAGGTTATTAGTGAGGGAGTGCTTTGAAAATTAAAGACTGTTAAATTTATAATTTCATTATTTAAATGGGCAATTCACAAGTTAAATGACATTCTGTTCATTTTATCATGTGTTAAAGCGGCCTGGGATGTCTTTTGTCAAATGTTGCAAACCTGAGGGGCGTCATTGTCAAAAAATAGGCCAAGTTGTATTTGGGTGTCAATAAGGCAAACTACGTGAAGTGTCACTGTAATTTATTCTTAGGAATATTTTCACAATTATATCGAATTAACCAAACAAATATTAAGTAGCGTTCTTCCAACAATAAGGTAACTTTGTATAAAACATGATACACAAGAGTAAAATAGTATTTTTAAAATTATAAACGAGGCGGGATGACTTTCCTTCGTCCTGCCCTGCACCTGTCCGGGTTTTTATTACAAAACTCATGTAGTTTAAAACCATTAAGCAAGCCTTCAAAACTGCTTTAAATGGAATTCGACAAAGTTAGTGCACCACAGGCAGACTATTTTGGCATCCTTATTTATGTTTAAAACAAGCTGATGATGGCGTAGTAGTGGTACCTTTTGCCATCCCTTTTCTAATTCATTATCTTTGAGTTATTATGTTCTACAATGAATTTTTTTTTTACAATTAAAACATGAGCAATCCATGTTTCGCTTTATTTCACACATATTCACCTTTAATTTACTGCTTATATTTAGGAATGCGATATGATAGGCTTATTTTTATCCAAAACTTCAATGCTTTATTTTATTAATTTGCTAACTACTTAAACTATTAAAATACCTTTTATTAATTATTTTCAACTCCACTAAAAAAATAATTATACTTAACGATATGAATAATTGGTATTAATTATAATCTAGCCCCAAGAGTGAGTTAATACCATAAATCAATCATTTCACGTTAATTAGTTATTTTGTTAAATATTTTTATCACTTCAATGTACTAATAAATCTATATTTGGTCATTTAGGTTTATCCGAACTAACATTAAATATAACTGACCAGTTTTCTGTAATCAAATCAACCTAACCAAAATACTTTGCCATGTGGATATCAAGTATATCAAAGTAAATTTTAATACAACCTATAGCTTTCAAGATTAAGAGTTAATTTACATTGGTAAAAAATAAGGAAAAATATTCATGATGGTGCAAGTAATTTTTTTATTTATTAACGATCCGTTCAACATGTCCTGCACGCCAATACATTTGGTTCTGAATCACTTCATTTAAATGATCGAGATAAGTTACTTCACTTAGTGTTTTCATTGAGTTAGAAACAAACGGTTATGCTCACGAAATAAAACATTTTAGTACGAACATTAATAATTACGAATATCGTTAGATTCATAACTTCAATTCATGTGTCTTTAGTTTGCGTGCATATAAACTCATCGTATAATATTTAATGGGCAATTGAATAAAAAACTCTTTAAATTACTTAACACAATTATTCGTTAATATTATACGAAGATAAATAAATTAAAATTTATTTAATAAATATTAATAATGACTTGGTAGGTTACACACTTTCTAACACAACCCTCATCGACGGTTTAGGATTATATGGTTATCAATGGTCAAATTTCCAATCAATTATGAAACTTTTCGCTAAAAGACTAATTAGTCTAATCAAATATGAGCTTAAATGCCCAAATGAAATGGATGTCTCAAGACGTGTCATTTTTAGTCACTTCTAAATTCACTCGATTTGGAACAATGAAAGTGACTCAAAACAACAAGAGTGTAATGAATAATTTGCCTAACCTAGCTTGTCTTTAAGTGAGGTTAGGCCCAAAATGAGACTTGCACAGTGTCTGTCTTATTCAACCGATGAGACTGAACAAAATATCCCAAAAAAAATTTCCTTGACAAATACTCTCAATGCACTTCTTTGTTTCCCTTTTTGTAATAGAATTTTTTTTTTTTTTTTTTTTTTTTTTTTTTCACGATGTGGTGTTGAACGTTTTAGAGCACTCCTTAATCCACCGTTAAGCAAATAAAGTCATTCCTTTTCACATGCACGGGACAAGTAACAAAAAAAATTCTCCGGTCCCAAAAAGAATTCGAACTCCCAACCTCTGATATAGGAGTGTAAGGTGAGAGTATTTATTGTACCTTTACCATACAAATTTAACACAATTATATAGAGAATGTAACTTCCATCTAACATTTTGCATTATATCAAAATGCAACAATGTAACAATTTTACAAGGAGAAAGCTACACCCTTGCACTGTGTTGTATTCTCCATGTAAGTGCACAAGAAGATGTAGTAGTACAAAATTTTGTTCAGGAAAGGACCCGGTTCTTTGATGGCTACGAGGAAGGCCCAGAGATCAGCTATGAATTAAGCCCAAAAGCCGAATTCTGAATGACAGTTGGATTGACCCAAGAAGTTTGGGTATGGGTTTGTATGTGTTCTGTTTGTTTGGCAATCTTGTGTGGGCTGCGGACCTGTAGACTGCCTATGTCTTTGTAGAGCGTGATCCGGAATCATTGATACCGATTAATTACGAAGTGACACATGAACAAAAATTTGTTTGAAATTGACATAAATTTAACACATTTACTTATATGGTGCTTTGTGATTAGCCCGGGAGGTGTAGTAATTTCTCATGTTTTTTAATGCAAAATCAAAAGTTGCATGGTGTCCAATAATTATATCTATTTTTGTTATATAAAGAAAAAACAGAAGCAATTTTCAAAAATGCGAAAAAATATCAAATAATTATATAATATTTCAACGAAAAAAATAATTTCGATGAATTGTCAACCAAACTAATTTTCGGAATTTTTTTTTATTTGCCAGTTCTCCTTATTTAAAGCTACTGCAGGAGCGCGCGCACACAATTTATGTTGCCGTTCAACTCTCTTCCTTCATTTGTAAGTCCAAGTCTTGTAATTTAATAAACTTCAACTAAGTCCATCAATTTTCTCATTTAAACCTTATTCCATTTTCACTTATTAAAGACCGTAGTAGTAAACGAAGAGTAATGTTAGCAAAAAAAAAAGACGTTCCCAGCACAAGTGGGGCCCACATATTCAAGAAGTCAAGAAAATTTATAATATTTTGAAGTAGGTTGATACGAAGTATCCGTCATTTATTAAAAGAGATATCACATGTTAATGCATTTTTAGAGCATTATAGACTTTCTCAAATCTCTCAAAGGGAGAAATTAGAGCACGGTCTCTAGACTAGGGTTTTGATCAATAAAAGTTATGTTTTCTTAATTAAACTTTTTAAAAAATCTCACTTAATAATACATATATTTAAACTTAAAAGTACAACTTGATAATTTTAAAAAAGAATAATGCAATAATTGCAATACTCTCTAAAATGGCTAATTAATATAGGAGGGAGACAGTAAAATTTACACAAACTTGATAGATATTTATGTGTCAAGTGGTAATGGATCTGGAATCAAATGTCCAGTGTTCTCTTTCCAAAAATCAAATGAACCACTCTCTAAATTTAAAGTAGGTATTCGGTATATTCAGTACACCGTGCACTATGTGTGCAAAAATGGATGACTCTAGTAGTCTGGTAGACAGTGCACCTAACATGCTAAATATATTTTCCAAATTTAGAGACCAAAGGCGAATGAGACCCACACTCATTTTCGGTCTGAGATTCGGAGTTCGGACTCCAGATATTTTATTCATCGGGACAGAGTTTTGAAACTTTGAATGTCAATGAAATAATTGTAAAAATAAAACTCGGATTGTCCACCTATATTTCCTCCAAAAAAAAAAAAAAAAACGCGTGTCTCAATCTTGCGCGCCACGACAAAGCAAAATCAAAGCTGGCACCATCGTGACACATCACGTTCTCAGCACCCTCCCTCCCACCTCCCACCTTCTTGGGTCACTCTGGAAGGAAGTTCAAAGTCGTATCACGGCTGCCTCCTCTCTCTCTCTCTCTCTCTCTCTACTTTCTCTCTCTAAATTCGAGAGAATAACCAGTAAGAACAACACGTCTCTCTCTCTCTCTCTCTCTCGATATATTTAAATATATTTGTATACGTATGCTTTTGTTCCAACTAACAGTAATCAAGTCGTTTCTGTTACAGTTCCTCCAAGTTTCTGGCTAGATCTGAGCTCGCAAGGCTGACGCCACAATGAGTCGTTTCTCTTTCTACCAGAGATTTTCTCGAGCTTTCAACGGCCATCCTTCTCTCGCTAATATTCTGGTTGTCTTCTCAATTAGGTACTACTGTTTCATTTCTGTTTCTTCATTTCGGTTTGTATTGATTCGTTTTGTTCTCCGTTAGGTTTAAATTTGGATTTGTAGACCAGAGTTCATTGATTTTTATTTCTTATCATATAATTAATTTGTTTTGGTTCTGTAATTGTTATATATGTTCTCTTCACAATTAGGTACTACTTTATTAGGTTTTCTGTTAGTTCATTTCGATTTGTATTGATTCGTTTTGTACTTTGTTAGGTTCAAATTTGGATTTGCTCTGATTTGTACACCAGAGTTCATTGATTTTGATTTGTTATCACATAATTAAGTTGTTTTGGTTCAGTAATTGCTATATGGATGGTCTTTGCTTTTAGTTATGGCGATTATAGGTCACAATCTTATAATTATAACAAGTACTAAATTATTAATTGATTGTTAAATGAAAATCAATGCAATTTAAGCAGGTAGAGTGTGAAAATTTTGATTGCTAAAACAAATACTTTTTTTATGGTTAATTGTTTTCAAGCTGGTTTAGGATGCTAGATCTGTAATTTGGAGTTTTGACACTTGATTGAGGCAAAGATTTTTAAACTTTCCTTATGTTTTATATGTGTGTGTGTGTGTATAAGGCTTACTTACAATTGTTAGCAGTTAAAACATAAAAGCTCGGTACAGAGGGAAGTGCAGACATTAGATGTTATGTTAGATCTTAATGTCATTAAGTTATCAGCTAGAGTACATGGATTGTTGTTCTCTGCCCAAACATTAGTGGCCGTGTTTTCCTAACTTCCTGCCAAGTGGTGCATATTTCACATCAGTTCGCGTGGTTACAGCATTGTTGTAGTCTTTCTTTCTTTCTTTTTTGTGGTTGGACTGTGGTCATTGGGCTAGTCTTTGCTTCTTTTGCAAACTTCAGAAACCTACTGAGGCATAAGTTTCTGTTTGGTCGATCCGGCACAAGAGAAAAATATTGTCATGTTCCTGAAAGGGATTACTTGAAGAAGGAAAGGATGCAGGGGTGTCAAAGGTAGGAGCAGAGGAAAAAGAACTAATGAAAGGAAAACAGGAACAAGTAGCACATTAGTTAAAAGTCAAGCCAGTTTATTGTTTTTGTTTTTCTATTAGCTTGTTGAGTGTGGTGATTTATTCATTAAAGTGCGACTAAATGAAGTTAGAGCCCAAAATAAGGCAAACCAGGGAGTAATTTTATTGTCTTATTGAGAACGCAGGAAATACTAGAATTGACTGCATTTTAATTTGGAAGTGCTTGTGGAGAAATAACTCCTAAATATTCTTAAGGAAAGCTATATGATACATTTTTTGCTAGTTTCAATTAGTTTATTATCCTCTTCATCAACATTTATGCTGATGTTTTACTTAAATTGCTATTTAAGTGGCCAATGACAAGACCAAAGGTTTTAGCAATGACAAATTGTCCATATGGAAACACGTCCAGCATGGAAATATCAGAAAACTAGAAGAGAAGCAAAGGATAGTTGATTTACTCGAGCAATGTATAGGTAGAATTTTGGTTGCATTTAAAAGTGATGCTGAGTAAAATGATAGGCTTTCCAGATGAGAAGAAATGATTGAAGAATGCAATATTGCTTAATAATGCAATCAAGCAAATTCCACCAATTCATTTGACCAGTAAAATTGTGAAATGACTTCTCTGGTTAACAACTGGTTCATGGTTAATTATGCATTCTTTTAGAGTTGAATTGGCTCATCGAACCATTTTCTTCGTTGATATTTAACTTTTGAAATAATTAACTTTTTGGTATGGAATTCCATTCCTCATTCTTTACTCCATTTGGATAGAAGTAAATTTCACTTGTCTTCCTATGGTGGTCCTACTTGAAAGATATTGTTTTTCAATCATATAGCTGGATTCAATGTTAATTCAATTTCACACAACAAAGTATTTCCCCGCAATTTGGATTGGATATTCCAATCTGTCTAAGGCCATAACTTTAATTAAACCATATGCTATTAGATTTTTTCTAATTATCTCAACCGATGTTAGTTTTAATCTTATAAGGACTGCTGAAATCAAGTTCATATAATTTAATAACTTCATCTCTCTCTCTCCCTCTCTCTCCTCCTCCTTTTTTTTTTTTTTTTTTTTTAAATATTGGCAGTGGTGGAGGCCTTGTGGCTTACTCCGAGTCAAAATCATATGATGGTGTCAACATTGTTAATCCATCTGAGGTTGATAGCAAGAAAAAGAGGGTGGTGGTACTTGGCACTGGATGGGCTGGAACAAGTTTCTTGAAGAGCCTGAAGAATTCCTCATATGATGTCGAGGTGATATCTCCTCGTAATTATTTTGCTTTCACACCTTTGTTACCAAGTGTTACATGTGGCACAGTGGAAGCTCGCAGCATTGTCGAACCCATTCGCAACATTGTCAGAAAGGTACAAAAAGTAGATCCTTAGAGATGAATTTGCATGATGCGTTTAGTAGATAAAGATTTATTATTTCTTAGTATTGCTATGGTTGTTTTTGCCATGGTGCTCCAATGGAACTATGCTTGAAGTTTTAAGTGGTGTCTTCTTTGAATTTATGTAAAAGTTGATGTAAATCATATTTCATTTTAATGTTGGCTTTAGACTTATGTATGTATCACTGGATGTAAGAAATTTATGTAGGCTAAGGTATGTATCACTTGAATGTAATAAATTTATGTAGGCTCATAATAGCCTTAGAGCTTTACTTGATTCTTGCTAGCTCTTATGAGTACTCTTTTGTTCTTATGGACGTGGTGGTTAATTTTTTGTCTAGTAATCTCCATTTCACTAATTGTTTATTAATTTCATTTTAAGAATTTACTGACACAGTGTTTTCTTTGTCTTCACTGGCAGAAAGATCTAGATATTTGTTACTGGGAAGCTGAATGTTTTAAGATTGATGCCAAAAATAAGAAAGTTTACTGTCGATCTAATCAAGGAAACAATTTGAATGGGAACGAAGAATTTGTTGTAGACTATGATTACCTTGTAATAGCCATGGGAGCTCGCTCTAATACATTCAACACTCCTGGTGTGGAGGAAAATTGCCATTTCTTGAAGGTAACTTACTTGAAAATCTTGTTTTATCGTCATTGTATTTTTAATGACCAATTTTTTTCAGCTTTTGTAGCAATTTAAAACTCTGAAACAGGGGATTTTGGTCATTCGGGGATTCTGGTATATATGGACCCAGTTGTTCTCATACATGTACACTAACTTATTGCTAATTTGTTCATTAAAATGCGCTTCATGCAGGAAGTAGAAGATGCTCAGAAGATCCGTAGGACTGTTATCGACTGCTTTGAGAGGGCCAGCCTGCCTAACCTAAGCGATGAAGAGAGGAAAAAAATTCTTCAGTTTGTTGTTGTTGGCGGAGGTCCTACTGGTGTGGAGTTTTCAGCGGAGCTTCATGATTTTGTCAATGAAGATTTAGTCAAGTTATATCCTAAGGTCAAGGATTTAGTAAAAATAACACTTCTCGAGGCAGGAGATCATATATTGAACATGTAAGAGTATGGAACTCGTTAGTTCTTTGTTGTTTCTCTCTGAATTATACTTTGTTGTTCGGTCCTCCATAACCTACTTAAGCTGTGTCTTAACATGATCATTACTAGTGATTGAGAACTTCATACACATTCCTTTCAAATACTAGTGTTCTTATTGTTACTACTTGGAGAATGACTTGGCACAAATACAAGAATTGTAAATTGAAATTTGCAGCCTCCATAAATTTAGATATAAAACTATCTAAAAAGCCAAAAATTTAGGAGTTTGGGTACGTTAATTTAAGTGCGTGCAATACCCAAATTTGGGAATAGGATGTATAAAATGTAGTGTGTTAGAATCGACTACCAGACTCTCATTGCATACATAATTTGGTCTCAACTTGCTAGGATGATATCTGAAAACAAATCTGCCAAGCCATCCGTTAATGATCATGTTATGTAACTTGTGTGCAGAAAAAAATAAGTTCCAGACACCAATTGTTTTTTTTGTACGTATTTACAGACATGAAATTGGACCATTTGTGTGCTAGATGTGAATTGCATTTCTGTTCGAGTTGAATGGTGCGATTTCATAAAAATCAATGAGTATCTCCCTCTCCTTTAGTGTCTTTCCACTTCTGTGAATTAGGAACAAACACTTCGCCTGATTATTTTGATATTTGTCACGCTGTTTTTTCATTTCCATGGATGTCCTCTTATGCAATTGGAAGCTTGTGTTTGCAGGTTTGACAAAAGAATCACAGCATTTGCGGAAGAAAAATTTCAAAGAGAAGGTATTGATGTGAAATTGGGGTCAATGGTTGTCAAGGTATCTGACAAAGAAATTTCTACTAAAGAGAGAGGAAATGGGGAAATTTCTTCTATGCCATATGGAATGGTTGTCTGGTCAACTGGTATTGGGACTCGTCCTGTTGTAATGGATTTTATGAAGCAGATTGGTCAGGTACAATTCTTCTTTAACAATGAAATAATTTAGTAGTTAAATTTTTTCATTTGTTTATTTTAAATTTTTTTCTCAATGGTGTATTTATATCTCATTTAAGCCAACATATGTTTTATTGAGCACAGACCAATAGACGTGCAATAGCAACCGATGAATGGCTTCGAGTTGAGGGGTGCGATAGCATATATGCTCTTGGAGATTGTGCAACAATTAATCAGCGCAAAGTCATGGTACATGCACTCTTAACTTATTCAGAAAATTTTTAGCCTGGATATTTAGTCAATGACTGGTGTGCTAATGCTTGTGGGCACAGCTGTGTCCACTAGTTTATGGCATCAGTTTGGGTACTTAAATTGACACATTAAGCCTGTTATATCTGTTATTCGTTTATATTTCTTGCCTTTTGGTGAAGTAATCAAGTCCTTGATACTCAGCAGGCGCTAAATTTTGTTTACTTCAATTACAATTTCTAATTCAGGAAGATATTTCGGCAATATTTAGTAAAGCAGACAAGGACAAATCGGGAACACTTACAGTTAAAGAATTTCAAGAAGTTGTAGATGACATCTGTGAAAGATACCCTCAATTGGAGCTCTATTTGAAGAATAAGCAGATGGGCAGTATTGTAGATCTGTTGAAGGATTCCAAAGGAGACGTTGCAAAAGAATCCATTGAGTTGAATATCGAAGAATTCAAAAAAGCTCTTTCACAAGTGGATTCTCAGATGAAGAATCTTCCAGCAACAGCACAGGTATTGTGCCAATTTAATTATGCTGTACTCGGTATATTGATATCTTTTAAAGAAACATATCACTGCTTGCTGCTTACATACATTTTCTGATATATATTTGTGTAAATGGAATTTCAGGTTGCAACTCAGCAAGGTTCCTACCTTGCTAATTGTTTTAACCGTATGGAGGAGTGTGAGAAAAATCCCGAAGGTCCTCTTCGGTTCAGGGGAGAAGGTCGCCATCGTTTTCGTCCCTTCAGGTACAACTGCACCATCTGTGAGGAACCCCCCCTCCCTTCCAAACCCCATCCTACTCTTCCAATAATTTGCTGGGTATTTTCTTTTTTAGTACCACCAGTATTGTGTTGAGAATACTATTATTATAGTATGTTAGTATCATGCTGGAGCCATGTTAGAACCGGATGTCACAAAACTTCAAAAATTTAGTATGCTCTTTAGGCCTCAATAGGTGAACAGACGAGAGGAACATTGTGGTTGATGTTTAGTCATGCACTCATGCAATAATTTGACAGGACCCAAATGAGATGATAAAAGTCAAATTTTTTCATTTTAGGTAAGGGAAAAAAAAAACTATGAAGCATGTAGGCATTGATCACATGGAAATCTTGAGTTCCCTGTTGGCCGAGTTGAGTCTAGCTCTATTATTTTGCCACATTGGATAATTAATATTATATACTGAAATTAAAGTAACTTTATATACCAAAAATTCAATGCTCTTAGATCGGTTGGTGAATGGTTTATTTATTGTGTTGATGATCCTTATTCAAGGTACAAACATTTTGGACAATTTGCTCCATTGGGAGGTGAGCAAACAGCGGCACAACTTCCTGGGGATTGGGTTTCGATTGGTCGCAGCTCTCAGTGGCTTTGGTATTCTGTGTATGCAAGGTAATTTCTTCCTTTTTGTCAATTATGTTGGCTGGGTAACTGCTCAAACTTTGTAGAAGAAAAATTTTGTAAGTTATGATCCTCATTCCAATTGTTGCCTTTTCTCAACATTCAGCAAGCTTGTCAGCTGGCGCACAAGGACCTTGGTGGTATCGGATTGGACCAAGCGCTTTGTTTTTGGGAGGGACTCGAGTAGCATTTGAGGCATCCACTAACAGGTTCTGAATTAGTTTGGGGTGCGTTTTTTTTAAAACTACGATTCACCAGTTAATAGCTGAGGCAAATTTTGTTTTCCTAGTTGATTACTGTAATAATTCTTTAATAACTTCAAGAAAATACGCATTGCCTTGGACATGTTACCGGAACTAAGGGGATGAGCTGGTCCCAATTTTTGTAGCTAAATTCACTTTTAGACTATGCTTGGGTTATAAATGTGAAGATTGCAGATGGTTTTTTCGAATAATAAACATGGTTATATGGATAGTGGCATAATGAATTCTTTTTTCCCTTGAATTTTGGCTGAGATACAAATGTGATGCTATTCCAACGTAATAACCAACACATAATTCCTAGTACCTCGACAATGGAATATCGTGATTGATAATTTCAAAGACGTGGATCAAACCGAGTATTGAACATATCAAAAGGCTGTGTGTTGAGAAAGGAAGGAAAGTTTGGAGTTGAATTGTGAGTGGACAATGCTATTTAGAACGAAAATTGAATGTTAGTTGCATTCTTCGAGAAGTTAAGAGTGTTAGGTTTGAGAATCATTATACTTGCATGCCTAGATTAGCATTCTTGGTTAGGTTGTTAGGTTTGAGAATCATTATCCTTGTGCGTATGCTATCGTTGAGGTCGCTCCTTCGATGTAGGTTTTTCGTCTTTCGTCAAAGAGATCTACTATTTATTTAATACTTATAGCAAAATCAGTTACATGGCTACTTCTAAGGCTTAATATTATCTGTTTCACCTATAAAGAAACTGCAGAAATGTAATGGTTTGGGTGTATATTCTTCATACTCAAGTTTATGCTTATAAATTTGGTCCAGGATAAGTCCAACCCATTGTTACAGAACCAAACTGAACAAGCGGCCATTGTACTGTTTAGTAATCCAAGAGAGTTTGTTGCAAAAGTTTGATAGATGGATTGTAATTTGTCCCAAATATAATTTATAAATTATATACAAAATGTGTACATCTAATTATAGAAGGATTTTTTTTTTTTTTTTTTGTAGGTCTAATAATAAAAGATAACTTGTAAATTTTTTGGGGGCAAAGGTAAGTATAGTGGTAATGGTAAGGGCATTCAATTTGACTAATAGGTTAAATGTAAATTATATACCCTGTTTACCCTTCCAAACGCCCTGAATTAGTGAAAAAATACACTGGATAATGACATCACCATTCACATTCACCACTGATATATATATATATATATATATATATAATCAGTGTTGTACAAGCACACAAAATAGTAACACTGACCTGTTGAAAGGTTTGGTGTCAGCAATGTCCCCTTTGATGGATAGAATTATAACACAATATGTGTCAAGCATATGCTATGATCAAACAAGTGGGACTATGTTGATGTCTACCTGAGTTGACACGTGGAATACCCCCACCCTAGCTCTCCAATGACATTCTCGAAATGTAGACAAAAATATATGGATTGGATAGGGATGTTGATATGGAAAAGATAAAAAGAAAAATGATGGCTCATACAACATTAGAACATGGGGTTTTTAGGTTTGGGAGACAAGAGATTTAGGGGTCTATTGCAATCAAAGATACGTATAAACTATGAACCCTAAAGTTGGAGGAAGCAATAGCAAACACTATCTTAGTGGTGAATGGGAATGGTGATGTCAATATTCTTAGATTTTTACTGAAATTTCCGATTCAAATGACTCTTTAATCTTATCTTATGCACAAGTAGTTGGTTGACAAATGGGCTTGATTAAGCCATGGCCCATGGGCCTGCTTATTGAACTATATATATATATATATATATTTTAAAACTTAGCAAAAAAAAATACACTCATACATTCACTTTTCTCAAAATGCAAAGAGTTTCTTCAAATCAGAAATGATAATTGTTATATTATTTAGGTTTGGCTTTCTAAGGAACTGAGTTTTAGTGAATGAATATGAGTTGCTTTTTAACGGGTCATCAGTTTGACTATTTACCTATTGGTAAACAACTTGATTCATTTGTAATCTTGTATATTTTCATGATTCGAGAAAAATGACAATGTTATATACATATTCCTCTAATTTTATTTTATTTTTTTCTTGTGATTTTCTGTTTGCCACTATCTGCATGGGGTCTCAAAAATTTGGATCAGGATTTGAATCCTATTACACAAATGTTGGTTTGAATGGTGTACTGATTTTTCTATTTTATAAGGTCTAGGTGGTCTATGAATGGACATGCTAGGCACTAGCTAAATAAAAATGACATTTTACACTATAATACATTGCAAATTATGTTGCACGGCTGATTCCAATAGTTCAAGAGTTGGACACAGGAGCTCTACACATGGAAGGTCTTATGTTCGACTCTCTCTAAGGCAGCGAATCCGAATTTAACCAACAAGTATGACTTGCGAGCGATTGTAAAAGAACAAAACATGTATTGAGCTTGTGCATCAAAGGACTAGAATTCCTTCCAATTCTATGTTACAAATCATAGGTGCAGGTGATTTTGGGGGTTAATTTTGGCAGCTGAAATGATGTAATGTTGTACATTTGATTTTAGACTTATAAATCAAGCACAATAAAATAAATAAATAAATAAATAAAAATAAAATAAAAACAATGTGTATTAAAATAAAATAATAAAAAATAAAAATAAAAATAAAAAAAACCTAAAAGATGGGCACAACCCTCTTGATTTTTCATTTTAAGAATGAACATGAAGTCATGGACTAAAAAGAAAATGGACATTGAAGTCCACAGAAGGTTGGAAGCATGTGTTTTTTTCTGTAACCTAACTAACCCCTTTGTATGGGGGCCCACAATCAGAAAACAGGGCCAACCTTCCCCACTCCTCACATGAATGCACAGTAGATATGCCACTGTTGCATTTATTAGAATATAACTGTGCCCTAATTTTTTATGCCAATTAGTGACGTGGAAGCTTCAGCTGTCTCAGTTTCTTGGCCCACTTGTATACTGTTCGAGGACACTTGATAATAATTGTGTGGATAGCACTCTTTATGATGGCTGAGATTTGTTTAAATTATTAAAAGCTCACTGGGTTTTGGTTGTTTCGTGTTTTTTATTGGAAAATGACTTATTCCACCACCTTAGGGACACAAATTCTCAGCTAAATCAAAATCATCTTCATAGTTTCGGCCAATAATAACTCTACAAGTAAATAAATATTTTAATTTTTGCTTATGTGTCAGACAATAATCGATAAGAGTTATGTAGTATTGGACCATATAATAATTTTTTATAAACTCATAGCAAATAGCCAAGAGGGTGTTGTTGTTTAATGTTTCCTTGATATTAATTTTTAAGATTTGTTACAAGATATTTTTGCACCGACTATTACAAACAATGTTTTTTGTTAACGAAGTATGGATGCGACCCCTCTAAATTAAAATCTCTCTTAATGCATTTACGAGTTTAACATTCAGCAAGAAATTATTTATTGAAATTGTTGCAACGATAATGTGGTGTAACGGACGATTACAAATACTTCATTAAAGCACATATATCAACTTTTTGGTTCTATTGTAAGTCCACTTTGCTTTGATGAAATGTTTGTAACTATCTGTTACACCATATTATCGTTGCAACGATTATAATACTTTGAAATTGTTCCCTTCATTGTGATTTCCCTCCTTTAACTAAATATTTCTCTTTCTCGAGAACTCTATTTGCCAAAAATATATTATCTGAAAACAAGCCAAACAAGTCCTTATTCTGAAAACAGTTTTCTATTCTTTAAATTCTTGAGATCTATTTTCAAAATTACAAACCCAGCAAACCCTTATTCTCTCTCAAGATTTCTCCTCGTATACTCTCAAGATTTCTCCTCAACATGGAATTTCAAGGGCTTCTTTGTGTTAGATTCGATTAAGGCATCTTCATTTTGGAGGTAAGTTACTTTATTTTATATATATTTATTTCAATGTGATAAGGTCGTTTGAACAATGACAACTAACTAAAATGACATTGTTTTGGCTGTTATTTTAAGAATAGTTGTACCTATGAATGTTATATTATAATTGCCCGGGGAGACATTTTGATTGAGGGGAGCCGGTTCGACAAAGTATTAGAAGTAAGATACTAAAGCCTCGTTTGACATGCATTTTATTTTTATTATTTTTATTTTTGGGCTGTTACATCATTGATTTTAACAATAAAAGTATGTTTGGTGCAATTTTGTTTTATTTTACATAGTGCTAAAATACTTCGTGAACAGTGGTCCAAAACCAAAATACCAAAAAGTTATTTTTCTTATTTTGACAACTATTCATGACCCAAAATCATAACTTTTGATTTTTTTTTCAAAACACTCCTACATCAAAAAAAAAAAATTGTTATGCTTTATCCAAAAAGAAAATGTCTAGAAAAAAACGTATGGCAAACTATGTAATTGAAAATGATTACATAAAATGATTATTTCTGTAATTGAAAATGTATTTTCATACCCAACTCAGACTCATATTCAAATTCTCAGATAAATGTTTTATTAGGACTGTTAAACTATGTGGTAAGACCCTGTATAGTTTTTTGAACTTGAAACTAGTTGTGTACATGTCCTAATTATATCATTCACAAAACAAATAATATTCATGTTTGCCACAAATAAATTGCAGGAATACAATTTTTTTTTATTGAATGTGATGTATATACTTTGGACATAATTCAACTATAAGCTTCACATGGATGCTTCAATTATAAACGTAGATTTAGGGGGAAAAGAAGAAGAAATAGATTTACATTGGTGGAATTATATAACTTGCACATTTTTCTTGTATGACAAATTAATGGCGTATGAGTGTGAGCCAGAAGAGCCACGTGTCGGCAAGTGGACGGTGTGATGAATTGACTGACAGCTGTGATTTTATAAATAATGTTGTTTGTGTATAATTTACTATTGTTGATAATACATATATAGAATTATTATTATTATTATAATTTTGGGGGTATTATGGTTTAATTATAGAGATTCGAGATGATTAGCTGTACGAATTAGATGCTTCGATATTATTTATTGGGAGGAATAGAAGAACCGTGGCGTGGACTCGTGCGGTTAAGGAGGGAATCACGTGCTTCCCTCACATGACCCCATCATTGCTTCTTTTCTGTCAGCTTCCCACCTTATTTAATGGCACCGTTAAACCTTCCCCTTTGTTTTTTTTTAGCCGTCATTTAGAGATAGACGACCGTAAAAAGGCATAAAGTGAAACAAAACAAATAAATAAAAAATATACTCTAAATTTGTGGAGGAAATAAAGTCAATATTTTATAAACGGAATTATCATGAGAGAACGCAGTAAATAGGAGAGACCGAAAGATTTAGCCATCATCACGACAACTGCTCCAAAACTATAATCACAAGGCGCTCCAACACCCAATAAACTCCGCACAAGATCAAATCAAGGAGAAAAAGATTAAATCGAGTCGGGAAAACCAAAACCGACTTAGACCAGAGATCTAGTCGGAGAAAACAACAGATCCGCTTATGTGATCCGAAAACGAACCAAACATGAAAAGATCTAGTCGAAGAAAACAAAAAAACGGCGTAAAAAAAATACCCACAGAACACACTGATTGAAACACTCCGAATTTATTGTAGTCGTGAGAGGAGGCCTTCATCTCCTCACTCCTATGGAAGGGAGCAGGGAGGCAGAATGAAGAAGTTGCACAAAAGAAAATCAACGTGATTTATAGGCTCGTTCATTAAATCTCAAACATTTATATACTTGCCTCGTTTTGTTTGTTTATATATATTCGTGAACAAGCTTGTACAAGGACTCGTGAATAATGTATGTAATCAATTTTTTAATTTTTAATTTTTAATTTTTTTTAAATCAACTCACATAAAAAAAAAGTTCACTTATCTCTTTGGTAATCATTAATCCAGCCCAGCACATCACCGAGTCGAGCTCAATCTGGCCCAAGTTATGCTCAATTGAGTACTAAACCGAGCTCGGACACAATTTAGCGTTGCCAAGCCGAGTCCGAAGAACCTAGTGCTTGGCTTGATTGCACTTTAGGAATCAATATGTAATTATCTGTTTCTTTTGGGTCCCGTTACATAATGTATGTATATAGATTACGTTTACAATTGTTATTATTATTAATTTTTAACAAGTTAATTATGTTTATCATTGAAATATGTTTAAGATTGAAAAGAAATGAAATGAAAGGAAAAGAAATGGGGGGATATGAATTTTTTTTTTTTTTTGTTTGGTATAAAAATTTGGAAGGAAAAATAAAGGAAATGGAAGATTTGGATAGTTACATCAAAGTTTGATGAGTTATTTTTATTATCCTATAAAAAAGAAGAAGAAGAAGAAAGAGTAGTATTTTTAATAAAATTTTATTAATATCTAATATCTTTTTACGGTGAACTACATTAAACCCCACTTTTTCTATCTGTATTTTTCACTAAACCCTCATTTTCTATTTTTTTGTCAAAAAACCTCCATCAAATATTAAAGGGGGGGTGATTTAACTAACTTCCGTTAACTAACTATTAGAGGGGGTGATTTAATTCTCAAATATATATATATATATATATATATTTGAGAATTAAATCACCCCCTCTAATAGTTAGTTAACGGAAGTTAGTTAAATCACCCCCCTATATAGCAAATAAATTTCAAAAAAAAAAAAACCTAAATTTATATTGGAAAAAAAAAATTAGGCATTATTTCTGGTTGTGTCCCTTTAATAAATCTATATAAAACGAAAATCAATAAAAACCAAATAAATGAATGCACAATATAATTCTCAAATATATATATATATATATATATATATATATATATATATATATATATATAGCAAATAAATTTCAAGAAAAAAAAAAACCTAAATTTTTTTCCTAAATACTAGACTTATATTGGTCGGAAGGCTAGATGGAAATGAAAATATATTTAAATAATATTTAATGATACATATTATATATACCATTATATTATGATACAAATTATATATAATATTATAATGATGGGTAAATAAAAGAAGTTGAACAAGAAGAAGAGTACAGGTTATTGCAATGGTTTTTTTTTTTTTTTTTTTTCCAATATAAATCTAGGTTTTTTTTTCTTAAAATTTATTTGCTACATATATATATATATATATATATATATATATATTTGAGAATTATATTGTGCATTCATTTGTTTGGTTTTTATTGATTTTCATTTTATATAGATTTATTAAAGGGACACTACCAAAAATAATGCCTATTTTTTTTTTTTTTTTTTCCAATATAAACTTAGTTTTTTTTTCTTGAAATTTATTTGCTATATATATATATATATACACGCATATATATTTGAGAATTAAATCACCCTCTTCTAATAGTTAGTTAACGGAAGTTAGTTAAATCACTCCCCTCTAATAGTTGACGGGTTTTTTTTGACAAAAAAATAAAAAAGGGGAGTTTAGTGAAAAACACATATAGAAAAGGGAAGTTTAATGTACTTCACCCTTCTTTTTATAAAAAACAAAAATGAAAAAGGGTATGGAGATAAATTTATCAAAATAAATTTTTTTTTTTAAAATCCTAGAACATGATTACTCTTTTATTATGTCATACTTTCATTAATCAACAAAACATGATATATGATTAATGCTATATATATATATATATATATATATATATATATATATATATATATTCATTCCGAGAAGAAATCTTCAGTGACGAGAGTCTAACTCGGATCTCACTTAATTGCATCAAAACATGCAAATTGCTTATACTAGCCATATTTGATTTTTCTCTTCACTGATTAATGGTTATTCTAATTTTTTAATAAAAAAAAGTATACTTCTTCTTTTCCAAAATTTTTGATGTGTTTAGAGAATTCAATTTTTTTATGATAGTGAGTTTTTAGCATTTTTTTTAATTGAATTGATGAGAGAATAAGAACGAAATTTCAAATTTAGCATTATTAAAAGATAAAAAAGTACTCAGTAATTAGTCCACTTATTTAATCAAGTCAATTTTAAGTGATAGTTTGAATATATTTTTATTTTTGAAATGAGATATATTTTGGAATATTTCCAAATTGAAAGATGAACAAAAATTTTAGAATAAAAGAAATAATTTTTTCCCGCAAAAATTAAAAGCTTAACAAGGGTTGGTAGGTTCAATCAAATCCATCTCAAACTCTGTCATTAGCCATCATTAAAAAGGCTAAAACCAATGTGTTTGCCTTTCTTCGAAAGAAAACAGCTATAACTCACATGCCCTCTTTATTGATGTTGTGCATGAGCAAAATATTAGGAAATATAGACATTTCTTATAACATGCCATATCAAACACTTCCTGTATATACTGATACAACTTGAATACGTGTCTAATATAGTTAGAATTATTATGAATAATGAACATTTTAGTTAATATGCAATTATTGAATTAATTTTTGATTGTAAAAAAATAATTCAATAATTGTTTTGTGCTGTAGTTTAGGAAAGGTTAGTACTGTATATATATATATATGTGAAAAAAAAATAAAAAAGTACTGTATACATGGAACATCTTTGTAATTGTGCGGACCTCCTCGTTTATGGCGGGTAAAGGACAATTCATTGATCCAGGGAGCTCTCGCGTCGACATCGGTAAAAACAAGTAGGAAAAAACGCACAGTACATACAGGGCTACCCGTTAAGGGATAAACGCTTTTACCATTTACTCTACCGTAAAAAGCCTTTTTTACTATTTCACTCGCCACTCAGCTATCGAAATCTGGTATCTTCTACAAAAAGGCCTCAAAAGCCTTCTCAACCATGTGATTACGACACGTGGCAGTATGAGAGGTTGTGTACAAATCACACCACAGTGGATATCTTAGGTTGCTCTCTGCCAGTCTGTTAGCTTCAGCACCACCTGGACCAATTGCCTATTTTTTTTTAATAATTTATTATATTTTCAGCTCAGTTTTTGCTATAATACGCCTGGGTTGGCCTCTTCTTTAGCTGCTTTGAGATTCAAAAGGTGAAGAAGAATCATAATTAAGAGCTCTCTTATCTAAGATTTTTCCATGGCACCAAGCTTTCCTTAATTCTCTCTCTCTCTCTCTCTCTATATATATATATATATGTATGTATTTCTATGTATCTATAGTCTATAGATGCATATGTCCATAAATCTTGTTAAGCTCCTTCAAGCTGTTTCCATGGCGGATCTCTCATTGGCCTGAAAATAGGTCTCTCTCTCTCTCCATATCTCTGTGTGTGTGTGTATATATATATGTATATATATGTTTGTGTATAAATAGTTTTGAGTATTTTTATAATTATTGAAACTACTCTGTTAGTAGGATTTAAGAAACTTTCCATGAAAACCTAACGATTTCTCTGTCTCCAAACACTGGCACAACAAGTTCCAGCTCAAGGTGCTAGTACCTGAAGCACGTGTTTAATTTGATGACTGATTTATAGTAATTGTTTAGGATCAAAAATATCAGTCAGTATTTCTAATTTTGTCATTCTGATTTTTTGTTTTTTTTCCTGAAAAAGCTAAATCTGCTGTTTTTAGTCACCGATCTTTTAATGTTTCATTCCAGCATTTGAAATCTATATGTATATACAGTATATCTACATATATTTATGTGCATTGATTACGAGTTTGATTAGATTTCGTCATTGATTTGATGGGTGATTTATACTAATTGTTCAGTCTCTAAATATCAGTCAGTATTTCTAAGCTTCTCTCATTCTGAACTAAATCTTTTAGCCACTGATCTCTTAATATTCTGATTAATTTTCGTCATTGAATGTGGTTTGTAAGTTAGATATCGAGTCTCGAATCGATATGGTTCGAATTACAAAGAGAAAGGACTCGCCGGACTCGTCCGAGTCGAATTCCTTTTTGCCATTTCCGGACGAGGTCTTGGAGCCAGTTTTGTCCCTTGTGAAGTCACACAAAGATCGGAGCTCAGTCTCACTTGTGTGCAAAGATTGGTACAACGCCGAGCGATGGAGTCGGACTCATGTATTTATCGGCAACTGTTATTCGGTATCGCCGGAGATTGTTGCCCGGAGGTTTCCGAAGATTCGGAGCGTGACCCTGAAAGGGAAGCCCCGGTTTTCGGATTTCAATTTGGTTCCGCAGGATTGGGGAGCTGATATTCACTCTTGGCTGGTGGTGTTCGCGAGGGCTTACCCTTTTCTTGAGGAGTTGAGGCTGAAGAGGATGGCAGTGAGTGATAAGAGCTTGGAGTTCCTGGCGACATCCTTTCCCAATTTCCGAGCTCTTTCGCTCTTGAGCTGTGATGGGTTCAGCACTGATGGCCTTGCTTCTATTTCAACTCATTGCAAGTAAGCAATTTGTGTGTGTTGATTAAGCCTTTTTCTTGAATGAAAAATTTAGATTTTGGTTTATATTCACTGCATTTATGGCTTCTGTTATGTAATTTTATGGTTCTAATTAGATGGGTGTTTTGGTAATGAGATCTGGTAATATTGTCAGGAATCATAAGAAATGTGTATATGTTTGTGAAAAAGTAGATAAAAATTATGTTTCTTGAGGTAGTACAGGAATAAATGAATTGATTTGGGGCATGGGAGGTTTGTTCAGTTGCGTTGTTTTTACTATGTAAAACAAAAGTTTAGTGGAAATTGAAGTGGTTCTACTTTATGTTTCTTTTTTTCTGTTGCTTTCTTGATGTGACGTTTGACCTGTTATCTTAATGGATGCCATGTCCTTGATGTCAAACCATACTCTGCACATACCCTGCACAAATATCTTTATTATCATTGGATAAGAAAAAAACATATCCTAACCTTTCACGCGGGAGAGTAATTGCAGGTAAATTTCAGTGTGGTGACTACTTGTGCAGTGCCTTTATGTTGTTCATCAATAGGAACTCTGCATCTAGCGGTTTTGGCTGTTAAAACATTCCCCTTTTACTGATATTATTGAGAAGGAATGGTTAATTTTCAAATTAGATAGCTTTAGGTAAAGCAGACCGATAATCAATTGTTGACCATATAATTAGGAGTAGCAAACCATAATTGATGGACTGCTGAGACCTCTATACTGGATCTGTCATCTGCGGAATGAAATGATTAGGTTAGGCAATGAATTTGTGAGCATATGGTTTTGGGAGTTGCCCATGGACTTCATTTGCATACGGTTTTAGGAATGGCTCAGATTTGATGCTTACACAAATCACCAGTATCAAGAAATTAAGTATTATCAATGGCCTTTTGGTTCATTATCCTTTAATAGCAGTAGTTTACCAATCACTCATGAGCATTTATTATTTTGGTATTCACTTTTTTTTTACTTTTGATAAAGTTTGTAGCTTGAGAATCATCTGGGTGAAAGCCAGTAGAGATTTCTCCATTTGGTTCTGGGAACCTAGTCTCTAATTGAGATGCGAAACGTCTTAGTGACATCCATTTCTCATTAAAGTGAAATTCCTTGGGTCTATTCCTTCTGGCTATTTAAAGCAACTTGCAACGTTGTTAGACACAAATATAATCGACTTGCAATCAGCATATGCTTTATTTCGTCCATTTAGTTGCCTCTACTTGCTTGGATTTTTGATGGGGCATTTTCATAAAAATGCATTACGATTTGCTGTTTGCTTATTTTTCCACTTCCTCTGTAGGTGGGCATCTGGATCTTCAACTTGATTGTTCTTGTATAAATAATCCTTTTAAGTCAATATTTGACTGACTATTTGTAAAGTAGTCTACTTCGTTGATCATAAAATATGTCAAAATGAATAAAAGTTATACAGTTCTAAAGTAGCCTTCTAAATTTAATGTCTTGCAGGAACTTGACTGAGCTTGACGTACAGGAGAATGGCATGGAAGATTTTGGTGGAGGTTGGTTAAGTTGCTTTCCTGAAAATTTCACATCATTGGAAGTATTGAACTTTGCTAGCCTGAGCAGTGATGTCAGTTTTGATGACCTTGAAAGACTTGTTACTAGGTGTAAGTCATTAAGCGTTTTGAAGGTTAATAGGAATATCACCTTGGAACAATTACAAAGACTGCTTGTGCGGGCCCCTCAGCTCACTGAGCTTGGTACTGGCTCCTTCCACCAAGAGCTCACGCATAGGCAGTATACAGAGCTTGAAAGTGCGTTCAGCAACTGCAAAAATCTACACACCCTCTCAGGTTTATGGGAAGCCACTTCCCTCTATCTCCCAGTTTTATACCCTGCCTGTGCCAGTCTGACTTTCTTAAATTTGAGCTATGCAACTCTGCAAACTGGTGAATTCACTAAGCTTCTTGCTCAATGCCCAAATCTGCGGCGTCTCTGGGTAAGTAACTCCAAATTCCTATCTAATGTAGTCATTCCCTTAACAGAAAATTTATCCTTAGATTTCTAGTGAGCAACACATTAAGGGCAAATGTAAAGATTCCTCTACTACTTTTGAATTTGTCATGGGGCATAACTTGCAATTCTAAACCCACTACTATTCACTGTCTTATTAAGGAAATGGTAACAATTCCTTGTCTCATAAACAATGGAGTTGCCCTCCATGTAGCTTCATGGCTATGAAAATATAGCTTTGTTTTCCTGCTTTCATCTTCCATTAAACCTAAAAATGCAGATTATGCTGTCTTCATTTAATGATGAAGTGACTGATTGATTCCAGATAGATGTAGACTGCATTTCTTTTATTGGTCAGCGTCGGAGACCTTGGCGTTGTATTGGGCACCAATATTTACATGTCCTATTTACATATGAGATTGTACAAGAATTCTGTTAGTTTCTCCAAGGAACCATGGATGCTAATTGCTGATAAAATCACCATTATTTTATTTTATTTTTCCAAATGCTTCACTTTTTCCCCAGTGGATTGTGGATCAAGTTTGATGGCAGGACCGATGATTATCCTGTAACATTCACATCTCTCAGTCTGTCTGACTTTTATAGGATTCTTCTGTGTGTGTCTTTTTTTTTTTTTTTTTTTTTTAATTTTTTTTAATTTTTTAATACAGATCATTTTTGATTACCTTGTGCTAGAATATCTGTTGTGATTGGCCTTTGTCTAATGAAAAACATGAGTGTGTTTATGGATATTGCTATTGCCAAAATGCCAAGGCTTCTTCCAAAGTGGCTGTGGAAGCAGCTATATTGTTGTGACAATTTACTGGTCATAGTTTGTTACAAAATTATTCCCCTTCTTTGGTCTTAGTGTGAAGTAATCAAAAACATTTTTGCTGATAATTGTTTGCTGTTAGATTTGTCATTTCATAGTATACTTTCAAGAACTCCAAATTTTCTCCAAAACAGCTTGCCATAAATTTCGGAAAAACTATCATTTCCAATTTGTCCTCTTACAATATAGAATCATCTGTTTGCCCTTTTTATATCAAAAGAGAACGATAAAGTAACCCTGAAGAATACTTTATTGAACTACACATCTAGCAATCTGAGCAATCATTGAGTTTCAGTTTAACTTGTGGATCTCATATATGCCATAGACTATACTAAATGAGAACTTCACATCTTACACTAAATCAAAATATTTTCTTACGTTCTAATATCTATGTTCACTTTTTTGGTATAGGTCATGGACACGGTGGAAGACAAGGGGCTGGAGGCTGTTGGAACTAGTTGCCCGTTGCTTGAAGAACTCCGTGTCCTCCCTGCAGATCCTTTTGACCAGGATATTCCCCGTGGGGTGACTGAGTCAGGTTTTGTTGCTGTGTCATATGGATGCCACAAACTCCGCTATGTTCTCTATTTTTGTCGGCAGATGACTAATGCTGCTGTGGCAACCATAGTGCAGAATTGCCCTGATTTCACTCATTTCCGCCTCTGCATAATGAACCCGGGCCAGCCAGATCATCTCACGGATGAACCAATGGATGAGGCTTTTGGCGCAGTGGTAAAGACTTGCACCAAACTTCAGAGGCTTGCAGTTTCAGGCCTGTTGACGGATCTGACATTTGAGTACATTGGGAAGTATGCCAAAAACCTAGAGACACTATCAGTGGCATTTGCTGGCAGCAGTGACTGGGGGATGCAATGTGTGCTAGGAGGTTGCCCAAAGCTGAAGAAGCTTGAAATTAGGGATTGCCCTTTCGGGAATGCAGCACTACTCTCAGGTTTGGAGAAGTATGAGTCAATGCGCTCACTCTGGATGTCAGCTTGCAATGTGACAATGAATGGGTGTAGACTACTGGCAAGGGAAATGCCAAGGTTGAATGTTGAGGTAATAAAGGATGATGAAAGTGATGACAGTCAAGCAGATAAAGTTTACGTTTATCGTTCTGTAGCCGGGCCAAGAAAGGATTCTCCACCTTTTGTTCTCACTCTCTGAAGTTAAAAGAAAAAGATCTTGGTAATCTCTCTCTCTCTCTCTCTCTCACACACACACACACACACACACACACACACACACACACTCCATGTGTGTGTGTACAAATGTACAATCATAAAAAAATACATGCATTGTGCTGCAATCCAATGTATTACCATAGATTTGTTGGGCCTTATTACTTGCTATAAGGAATTTATTGGCATAGGCTGGGCACTTTCATCTTTTGGGGGCCAATTTCTTGGCACTGAGGTTCTTCACTAACTCTTGAATGTGCTGCAAGCTCTTACTAACAATTGCTAAACTTATTGGTACCCAAGGGCAAGGCAAGTTGATCAGGTCTAGGTAGATTGTGGTATGGAGCTAAGGAGTGAAGGTTGGTAGATAATTTCACTAAACTATTCAGTATTCATATCTTGTCTACCCAAGGAAAAGAAGAATATGAAATTTGGAGGTGCTGTTGTATGATATATGTATTACATGTAGCATGTCCTCTCGGTGATTGGCTAAACTCTACAGTATCTAAATTGATGAGCCTGTGTAGCAAGACTTTCAATATCGATACGTGAAATGCAATTCCACTATCTGATTGGGGTATAAAATAATTTTCTATTATTTTTTCCAGGATACTGTGCTTGTATGTTCAACAAAATACATTACTGAGACATTTTTTGCTATAGAATCATCTTTAAACTTTCTTCCTGATTTAGAACAGGGCACACCTGTGAGATTCTCGAATAACCATTTTTAGCTTGAATCTATTTCCAGATGCCTCCTTTGTTATATAAGATGTGTCCGTATTTGATTATCCAGCAAGGTCGTCCCCCCCCACCACACACACACACACACACACACACACACAAGAATTATGACCAAGGTTATACTGTCATTGAATTTTCAATTGAACTATAATGCATTCATAAAGACTTTTATCTACGTAGAGGTGTTCAGACTTTGTATGTTCTCTGTTTTTCCTGGACTTGTTGCTAACAATAATTTTCTAATATTCACTTGTAGGTTTCATAGTGGATGATCAACTCACTTGTGGCTACTCGGGTTGACAGTTCATATGACTCAATGGAATAACGGGTGGAAGAGAGGAAGAGAGATTCGGGACTGGGAAACCTGTCTTTCGGCTGCTGCTTCTTTATGTAGCAACCCTGGAAACCAAGGAAGCAAGAGAGGAAAAAACTTGTGCCTTTGCAGCCTTCAAGTTTGGGTACAAGTTTGCCTCGGCAGTTAAAACAATTGCTGCATCCTGAAAACGAAGAATGCAAGGCTGTGGATGCAGACATAGATGAAACAACCATGGCAGTTGGCACAATGCATTGCCACCCAGTTCCATTGAGATCCTGCGTCTCCTTGATGTGTTGCTGTATGTTGAAGTGCTTTCCTGATGCATTTTTTGAAGCATTTCAGTCATCAGCGACCGTTTGCCTTCTAAACTGGTAAGACGGAGAAGGAACTGGAGGAATCTTTCTATCAAAAGCTGGTGAAAGGAGCAATGCGTGGTAACGGGCACCATACTGAAATGGGCACAAATTGGTTGGGTGCCGTGGCTTAGTCCCGGAATTCTGAATCCTGGAGTGGTCATTGAATGGTGCCGTGGACTGATGCTATGTAAGTTGTCCGATGCTATGTTGTGCAGGGACTGTATGGCAAGTTGGATATTGAATTGTTTGTTATCCTTTGCATTTTATCTCTTCTCAGTGATGCAATTTCATATACAATGTGATGATGCAAAGCCAACTGAGGTTTTTCAATAATAATATGGTTTCCTGGGTTGTTATTATGACTCGAAGTCTGGTATGGCAACAGCTCGGTAAAATTCTGAGAATCATAGATGACTTTTATGAAATTGGATCCCTTTTAACTCTTTATAGAGAAAAATGTTTACAAAATTGTCAATTAAAGGAGCAAATTTTTGAGTGCACTAATTTTTATTTTATTATTATTATTTTTTTTCATGTCTCTGAGAGAGAACAAATTTGTCAAAAAACTGAACCAAGATTTTCTAGGAGTTTTAAATTGGCAAAGAAAGAAAGATCACTGAGATTGTATGTAATAAGAGAGTAACTTCATTTGGTATTGTGTGATAAGAGATGTTCTTGGGTGCTTAACTTTAATTGAGATCGTAATAAGTGATTTTCTTAGGTGCTGAACTTCAGCTGAGATTGTAATAAGAGATTTTCTTAGGCATTGTTTGATAAAACTAAAATTAAGTATTGAGATTTTTAAAAAGAGCTTGGGGGAAGCTTGAAGAAGATAGCCTCTATCAGAGAAAGCCATTGTTGCGTGCTAGTTTAAGCTATCTAACTTTTTCAGGTCACTGTTATGTTAGTTGTAGTGCGCCTTCCCTCCTCTCACTTCATAAAGATTTAGTAGTATTTTCTTATCATGACCTAATCGAGAGAATGCGATACATTGGTATAAAAGATTGAGTCGGATCTCTGAAAATGGTCAGTAATGTCGAAAGTGTGTTATCTCAACTTTTAAGTGAAATATAAATTCCATTGTTAGAACTTTTGAATTGATTTACCAAAGAACATTTAGTTATTGAGTTTAATGAAATATGTCTACTCAATTAATAACTATTTTGCGTTACAACTAAAATTTTGAACTCCAAAAAAAAAATAAAAATAAATAAAATGTGGGTATAATCAAACCAGAGCTCAAAATGAAGGTGAGGTGTAAAATTATCAAACTTTTCATAAAATGAGGTGGTTGGTTTCATATGATCCCTATTCAAATTGTAGGAAGGAAGTCTAATTTTGCATTGAGGACAATGAGGTTCAAACCATATTGCTTTTCATTCAATGTTCCAAAAATCGAAAGTCATATTTATTAATCGCTCAGGGGTGTGAGGTACCTTTTTATCAATTAAAGAAATGTTTTATTTATTAATAAATGGTCATATCATATAAGCTGTACTCAACTTAAACAGCAATTGGAGGATTTAATCACCTCTTATAAGATATGATAGTCAAATTTTTGTCCCATTCTCATACTCCCATCCCTATAACAATTATTTTATTTGATTAGGTTAAGGTTTGGTAAGTGTCCACTCATAATCTACCTTACCCCTTTATAAATTTTTGCTTTTTTTTTATTTTTATTTTTTTATTTTTTTATTTTTTTATGCATCACGCTTACACGCTTATACGAAAACTTAGACTATCCACATTGTCTTTTGAAAAAGCCAGAAAATACCAATACTATAGGATAAGCCGCCTTTGGTATACTCTTAGATCACTTTATGTACCGATAAAAGAAAAGAATATTAATACAAATACTATAAGATAAGAGAAAAGACATTACTAAAATTAACATTGGATGAAGTAATAAGAAAATATGACAAGAAAATAAATGTATTACAGGACTACTCCTAAAAGAAAAGAATGAATTCATGTAGGTTGATAGTCTAACAATACCTAGCAAGTTATAACCATGACTAAGCAAGGTTTTGGTAGGCTGTCACCTTCATATTTTAAGCTTATAATGACCATTTCACCCTCTGAGAAATATACAGGTCCCATGAATATCTCTTTTTGGACACACATCATTTTCTTGCTGTGCAAATTGAAGATAAAAGCTAGTTCACAAATTCATAATTATCGGTCAAGGTAGTGAAAACAGATAAATATCTTCATAAATTGTACGTCAAGTCTATAAAAGCAAACCAAAATATACAACCAAGGTTTCAATGATGGAAAATCATTTGTAAAATGTTGCACCCAATCAGGTGGACTAAAAAGTTTCAATGGCTATGATCACGAAGAGGATGATTTTTAGGGTTGTACATCCAACATGTAGTTCACTTGTTCCAATTCCAACAAGACATCTATTGGTTCATTCAATGGCCACTGTATAGATAGTTGAACCACCACCAAACTTTTCTTGGTTGGTCTACCCCCCACATTAGATGGCTTGGTCAAAATGGTTAGGGCCCCAAAAAATGAGATTATAACAGTTTCTTTTTGGATGAGTCATTATCAACACTTCCAAGAATTCTTAATCCATCACATCAAAATGTCAAAACTCAAAATCTAACATGCTCACTGAGTTTACTTTTAGTAGTAGTGTCACCAAAGTTGCAACTCCACTTAAAAAATCAATACTATGTTTTTGTGTGTGTCACAAGCTAATCAAAGAAGTAACTGCCTATGCTATGTCTCTCATTTCTAGACTTTGAGTAAATTGTATATTATGGGTGGGTAATGAACATGAATGCTGAGATTTTCAGTCCAAATCCTCAATTTGGTTAAATCAAGAAAATTGTTGGGGGAAAAGAATTTGCTTGCTTCAGTTTTTTTTAGAATAGTTTTTTACTTTATGAGAAGAGTAAAGTGAGAGAAACACCTCTAATTTTAAATTTTGGACAAATATTACCCTTAAAATTATTTTTGGATATATAAGTACGTTAAGTTTACCAACAGATTAATAACCCCTTGCCTTCTTTGGAAGAGAAAATGCGTTAAGTTTGAAAAAATAATCAAAAAAGGACTTAAAGTCACTGTTTGGTTACAAACTTAGTCATGTGCCATTTAAGATATAAAATTCTGAAAATACTATTTTCTCTTCCAATAGTGCCCTTATACATATGAAGAAAAAAAAAAGAGGGACACTTTAGTCATTTCACATTTAATTAATTTTTTACTCTTTTTTTATTCAGTTATGGAGGGACGCTTTGTCTGTTTAGCATTCAGACCCTTATTTACTAAAAAATTAAATATTAAGGATTTTTCAGAATGTATAGAAGGCTTATACACTCTATATGCATACTATAGGGGCGGTTTTTCTCTCATGACTCTTATGAGAATTGAAAGTCAGAAAATTATACAAAAATCTATTTGGTTGACAGTTTCTGAAAAAATGGTTGTATTCAGATAACGGTATTTTCTAGTTCTTTAAAAATAAAATTTTCTGAGTTCTTTTTTTAAAAAAAACTGAACCAGACGGACCTTAGTTTTTGTTGCTTTACAACAATCATCCTAAAAAGTTCAATTCGAATGGTTATGAATACATATATATTTAGGGATTCAAATTAATGGCACCGAATTTTTTACATCCTTATGAAGCGATCTTTCTTCCAATGTTATGAGAATTGAAAGTCAGAAAATTGTACAAAAATCTATTTGGTTGATAGTTTCTAAAAAAAATGGTTGTATTCAGATAAATGTATTTTTTAGTTCTTTAAAAACAAAGTTTTCCGAATTCTTTTTTTTAGAAAACTAAACCAGATAGACCTTAGTTTTTGCTGTTTTACAACAATCATCCCAAAAAGTTCAATTCGAATGATTATGAATACATATATATATATTTAGGGATTCAAATTAATGACACCGAATTTTTTACATCCTTATGAAGCGATCTCTATTCCAATGTTCACTCTTTCTTTTTTTCCATTTATTGTTGGGAAATCTTGTGCTCCATTTCAGTGTATGCACATGAATATATTGATGAAAGATTGTTACATGTACCTTTCTCTTCAAAGCTAAGTTATTTTGTACCCATGTCTCAATCTAGCAAATCCCTTATTTTCTACTCAAAGGTGTCCAATTTGTAGCATGCTTTTTGATGCAATGACATTAATTTCTACACACCTAACCCTTCATTGCCCACAAAACAAGAACCACAACAAAATGCTTTCAGTGGCTTGTTAATACAATTTCACAACATTACCACTTTTCTCACTTTTTCTTTTCTGCTTTTCAATCTCATGTCATAGTGAATCAAAGTATCTTGAAAGTTACAACACGAATTAAGTATGATTAATGTGCAAAATTATGTATGATTAATGTGCAAAATTATGTATGATTAATCGCGTTTACACTATCATCGTATGATTTGTCGGTGTTGGAGTGGCCTTTTAGCTTAATCAGATTTAGACTGCAGACAGTTTAAGCTACTAATTAACCATATAATATAGTTTAGGTAATTAATCTACGCTTGATGATGAATGATTCTTATAGGCTACGACCCCACCATATAGTTAGTATGATTTATAAGTACATGACATTATGTATATATATATATGCTTCCAACAAGAATATATCATGGCCATGTGACAACTCAAATGATGCTAAGGTTAAGACAGCAACACAACCATTGTTGGATGCAACAAACATTTTTCATTGAGCAATTGCTCAGTCGGCACGCAGGCCTCAGAATGGAAAGTTTAAAAGAAAAGAAAAGAAAAAACAATTAAATCCCAAACACCCACTTAGGAAATTATTTAACTGTTAGCAATATATATATATATATAAATCATCTTCTTTACAAGAGTGGTAAAATGAGATCACATAAAATAAAAATCCGTGACTAACAGAATAATGGGTACATTTTGTCATGTAATGAGAGCTTTGGAACACTATAGATTAGACACCTAATCATGTCATGGGGTCATTAATTTTTTATATCCTCTTTGTCCTCTCTTAGGGTTTTTGATGCCCATACTTAACCTTTTCCCATGAAATGAAAAGCTTCCATAACTTCCTCTACGCCTAGTGCGGATGCGGTGCATGTACGTGGTTGTTCGGGAATAACTGTGATCACTCACACGCATGAATATTTCATGCAGTAATAATACGGTGTTGTTCACACGCGTGAGCGATCTTTGCCGTTCAATGTTGCACAACACCGTTGTGACGATCTATGTGAGCGAGTGCGAAACATTGGACAAGTTACTACACTGACAGACTATAGAGTGTCAATGTGTCATGATTCCACATCGCTTAAAGAATGTGAAGTGATATATGTAAGGTTTAACACCTTTTTATAATAGAATCGTTTAAAGACATGATAGTCGTGATCAGGGACGGAGCCAGAAACTTATGTGGGAGGGGGCAATAGTGATTTTTTTTAGTGATTCTAGTGGGGGGCAATGTTGAAATTTCAAAGGTATATAATTTAAAAAGGAAAATTTAACAAGGTATTATACTACAAAAAGCAATTGCCCCCACTAACTTGAATGTAGATCCGTCGTCCCTGGTCGTGATCAATTTATCAGAATTCCAAAATTAAGCGTGCTTAACCTGGAATAATACCAGACTACCAGGATGGGTGACCTCTTAGGAAGTCTTTGGTCTGGGAGAACAAAAAACTGACAATATTAAGATGGGTGACCTCCTGGAAAGTCTTTGGTCTGGGGACGCAAAAAATCGACAATATTAGGATGGGTGACCTCCTGGAAAGTCTCTGGTTCGAGGAGCAAAAAACTAAGAATATTATGATGGACTTTTTGGAAAATCTCTGGTCTAAAAGAGTTAAAAGTTGACAATATTGTATGAGGTAGGGTGAGAATTGTCACAACCGTGTTGTTATTGCACTGGAATCTGACCCCTAAAAGCTAAACCCTCAATTAAATTTGATGAATGATCAACGGGGATTTTAGGATTGTATTGACTTGAGTAGCAGCTTTTGGCTTTTTGTTAAGCTCCTTTCACTATCCACACCACAAAAGAGGTTAGAAAAGAGGCAGCTTTCACTTGATGAAGTTTCACCCCACCTTCATGTCCTATTCAAAAGGGTGACCCCTAACTTAAGGCACCAAACAGAGGGGTTCACATGGTGGGGTGGGAATGTGTGTCATCACCATGCCTAGTTGCTAGCTCTTTGCTTCTTCTTCCTTTTCACTTAACACACTAGAATGAGTGTCCTTATTAAGGAGTGTGGTCCATGTGGACTATTGTTCTCTCTCTTCATCTTAATTTATTGCTTTGTCTTTTCCTTGAACCTTCCTTTGTTTACTTAGCAACCAACACTCTAATGTTCATCAGTGAGTGTCAAGTGGACTCCTACTTCAATTTAATTATTTGCTCAACCATACCTTAATTATAAATATATATATGTTTAGAAAAAAAATGTAGCAAGAGTTCTCTATGGATGAAATTAGATCCAAGGAATGTCATGTATGATTTATTCCATTTCTTTGTCGGTTGCATATTTTATATACTTAAAGTTTTAATAAATGTTTGCTATAAAATAAAAATGAAAAGAGAAATGAACTTTTAACAATGTAGTTTTCTTATTAATATTTCAAATTAAAATAAAGAAGTGCAAATAAAGAACTAATATGAAGACAAGGTAGCAATTATATATATGTTGTCACATATTAAAAGAAAACCTATCCCTCTTATGTTGGACATTTAAAAAGAAACAAAAGTAACAAATTATGTTGTTAAAGTGAGAATGATGAGATGAATGAAATAAAAAAATACATGATTAATTTATAATCAACATGTTATCATGTTAAAGGAAAATTAAGAATTGCAATTATTAGTGATAAAATAAGATAAAGTAGGCACAAGTGAATTTGGACCTTAACTCACACAATCGTTCTCAACGGGTATCGCTCTTATGCTCTGAGCGCAATCCTACTCTTATTTTTAATGCTCCTCACGCGCTCTCGCTCCCATTATCAATGTTTGTGACTTAATTTTGTCGCTTTCGCACTCACTTTGGCTTTATTTGACTTAGCTTGGATCTATAGATGCACTAAGAAAAATAAAAAAATAAAACCAAATTTGGAAACATTAGGCATTCACCTCAACTAAGTTTCAATGTTGCATTATTGGGGCTGATACAAGATACAAAGAAAGCATATATATCATCAACTTTTGGTTTGATTGAGAATTCATTCCTTATTTCTACAAAGTTCCTTAAAAAGTTCATATCATTCTCGTATGATTTTTGAAACACTACATAAAAGTGTGTTTTTGAGTTCTTGATAGGAGATACATTGCAATCAAGCCTTAATACGACACAACATGCCACTCTGTCTCTTGAAAGTAACATAAAGGTAATAGCTTCCACACTTGCAATGAAAAGCACCCGAATACAACAATCTAATGCAAATTTAATTTAATTTAATTTATTTTTAATTTTGATATATATATATATATATATATATATATATATATATATATATTTAACGCAATGTAATGTAAATGACTTGATGTATATTGAGTTATGAAGCACGGACACGGATACGGGACACGGGTATTACACGACACGGATACGGCGACACGACAAATTTCAAAAAAATAGGACACGGACACGGCGGGGATACGCCAATAAAATTATATATATATATATATATATATATATATATATAATTATATATTCAAAATATAATTACTAGAATTTTGTACAGATAAATAAAACAATAACAAAGAACAGAATCAATTTCAATAATTTCATCTCTGTTATAAGAAAAATATGGACAAGAGAAAACAGAAAATAAATGAAAAATAAAGTTAATTCAAATTCTAAACAAAGATATGCAGAAGAAACATAACTATAATGAACTAAATATGTATATGAATAAACATATATACTTTCAGTCTTTCACAAAATCTTGTTCATGTAACTTAAATATATATATATATATATATTGTTCATGTAGAGAGATAATTGAAGAAGATGAGAGACTGAGAGAGGAGTGAGAGAAAATAAATTTTGTCTCACAGAAGTGTCGGACCGTGTGTCCGAGCCTCGAACACGCGTGTCCAATAAAAAATAATATTTGGACACTTCACAGAAGTGTCGGACACGAGTGTTGGTGTCCGAAAAGTGTCCGACATTGGTACGGGATCCCTGCAAGAAGTGTCCGTGCTTCATAGATATTGAGATATTTGCTTTTACCACGCTTATATGTGTTGTTTTAAGATTATATTAATGTCGTATTTTTATATAGACAGAAATAACCTTCAGCTTATCATTAATTAATAAAAAAGAGATTTGTATGTCAGATAAACACTTCTAATGTAATACTCAAGAGAGTCCTATGTGAGTACAGTAGGGTCTCTTTGAAATATACTCATATATATATTTTTAACATTACTCTTAATTAATTCATGTGTAAATGCATCAAATTATAGATATTCATCCACCTCCTTTTCGTCCACTTTTATTGCATTTCCATTCCCTCCATCTTGAAGATGTTCTCCAACTGATCAAACGTCCATCTACTTCCACAATGACATAAATACCCCTGTAACCTTTTTCTACCACTGACTTTGCCACATAACTGATAGGATATTTTTGTAAATTCACACCCGCATTGACCCAAGTCAGTTTGATGAGAGGTATAAAACACATGAGCCTCTCTGTTCATGATAAGATCATCAATCACCTTCCATCCCCTCATCCTCAAAACTCCACCACTGGCCGGAATCTTGACACCAACTTCGCCAACGATCTGACCCACCTCCGCCCGGAAAATGGGTTTTCTTTGAAAATGAAGATGGGTGAAGAGAAAGGCTTCCAAGAATCAAAAGGCGGCCAAAACTCGCCGGAATCGTCCGCCGGAAAACCCAGTATTCAGCGAGCAATCGAGCTTATATCCTCTCTAATCTCACTCTCACATTCAATCAAAGTCTTCTCAGTGAAATGGCAATCCATACGTATCAAGCTGGAAGAGCTTCTCTCCGGCCTCACAGCCGTCCAAAACTGCGACTCCGGCGACAACCCATCACTCTCCGGCACAGTTCAGAGAATCATTGACACGCTGACCAGTTGTTACGATCTTGCGCGACGATGCGTCGACCTTTCCTTCAGTGGGAAGCTGTTAATGCAAAGCGATCTCGACATTCTCTCTGCGAAATTCGACTCACACACAAAGTCTCTCTCTGAAATTTACACTGCTGGTTTGCTTTCACACAACTACGCCATCGTCGTTTCGAGGCCCAGTCTCGGAGCGTCTCGCGACGACATGAAGTTCTATGTCAGGGACTTGTTGTCGAGGATGAGAATTGGTGGCACAGAAATGAAGAAACAAGCTTTGATTGCTTTCAATGAAGTCATCGATGAGGATGAGAAGTATGTGAAAGTTGCTGTTGAAATTGGTAGTCTGATTAGTCTCTTGGTGAAATTTCTCGATTCACAAGAAACCCAGATTCAATCAGAGTCTGCGAGGGCTGTTTCGATCATTGCAGGGTTTGATTCATACAGGAATGTGTTGATTGGGGCAGGGGTTATTGCGCCATTGATTAGGGTTTTAGAGAGTGGGGATGAGTTTGGCAAAGAATGGTCCGCCAGGTGTTTGCAGAAATTAACAGAGAATTCTGATAATGCGTGGTCGATTTCGGCTCATGGTGGAGTGACAGCACTGTTGAAGATATGTAGTGATTGTGATTTTGGTGTTGAATTGGTTGGTTTGGCTTGTGGGGTGTTGAAGAATCTTGTCGGGGTTGAAGAAATCAAGAGGTTTATGGTTGAGGACGGCGCGATTTCGGTGTTCATTAAGCTTGTGAGGTCAAAAGATGAACTTTCACAGATAAGTTCAATGGATTTTCTTCAAAGTATGGCCTGCGGGGATGAATTCACGCGGCAAATGATTGTTAGAGAAGGGGGAGTTCGCGTTCTGGTTCGCGTTTTGGATCCCATATCAACATTCTCATTGAAAGCTCGAGAGATGGCCTTGAGAGCAATTGTGAATTTGTGCTTTTCATGTCCAAGCACTTTGAACATTTTGATGAATTATGGGTTTTTGGATCATATAGCGTACTTTCTTCGCAATGGTGAGGTTTCGATTCAAGAATTGGCACTGAAGGTGTCCGTTAGGCTATGTGGAACATCAATTGAGGCCAAGAAAGAAATGGGAGATGCAGGGTTTATGCCAGAGCTTGTCAAATTGCTCGAAGCAAAGTCATTCGAAGTCCGGGAAATGGCAGCCGAGGCACTCTCCAGCATGATATTACTCCCCAAAAACCGAAAACGATTCGTGCACAGTGATCAAAATGTTGGGTTGCTTCTACAAATGCTCAATCCAGAAGAGGGAAATTCCAGCGGCAAGAAGTTCTTGTTGTCTGCTTTGATGTCATTGTCTAGTAGCAACAGTGGAAGGAAGAAAATTGTGAGTTCAGGGTATGTCAAGAACATAGAAAAGCTTGCAGAGGCTCAAGTTTCGGATGCCAAAAAGATTGTCAGGAAGTTATCATCAAGCAGATTGCGCAGTTTGTTCAGTGGAATCTGGTTTTCTTGAATGTAATCTTCTTGTATCTTCACCTACTGTATATCTTCACAAGTGTCTTCATTTTTTTTTTTTTTTCCCCAATTTCATAACATGTTTATCAAAATCTCAAATTGCGTTAGAACACATCTTTGTTTAGATTGTAAGTGTTACTAGACAGATGCAAATAAGAAAGGTCTTGTGATAAGATTTTGTAATTATACTCTGGCATATGTTTGTATGCAGTAAAGCAACTGTAGTTATTTTAGTTGAGCTGGCATTGAAAAGGGTATTATGAAGATCTTTTTTTCATATGGTTTTGTTAGAGTGTGCACATGGGAAAGACATAAACTCTAAATGAGCATGTGAGTTGTATCCATCAATTTTTTGTCTTCCTTCCATTGCTTACAAATAGGAGAATGATAGACGGACCCCTTCTGTATTTCCTTGTATTTTAGTCCCCTCGGCTTTCTTATCATGCATTCAGTATATATATATATATATATATATATATATATATATATATATATTTGTGTGTGTGTTGTGCGTGCATGTGTATGCACACGCGTGAATCGGAATTGGTTTCCATGATGTATCTAGAAAAGTTGTAAGATGAATTGAATTTAGTCGAATAAATATTTTAATAAAATTTTGGATAAAGTATAACACCACCTCTCGAGGTTTGCAAAAAGAACATACACGTAAAATTTACTTATTTTTTAGACAAAGACACCCCTTCAAGTTTGATACACTCACCAAAGACATCTTAATGGTAATAAATTGACATTTTTACTCTTTGACTTTTATATTGATCAATTTGAATATTGAAATGACCTTTCTAACTCATACCCATAACTTCTTTCCTTCTCTCTTCTCTGTTCTCTATTCCTCCGCCCCAATACCAATACACACACATACTGTCACACAGATTCAAAGAGGATGTCACGAGGGCAAACGAAGGTGTACTTTCAACAAATTTCTAGTATGCCAACCATCAATAGATAGCACTGTCTTGTAGATCATAGGGCACACAAAATTGGTGGCCATATGTAAGTAAATTGGTGAAACACCAATTTACACACACACACACACACACACACACATACATATACATATATATACACACCTACCCACATATATATATGTATATAAAAATACATATATATATATATATACTCACACACACACAAGGTGGCGACGACGGAGTTCATCATCACCACCCACGCACTCGACACGCTCCTGCCAGAATCTAACTCGTGCCGAACGCGCCCACGCGTTCCTTCTTCAGCCTTTTTTCCGGTGCCTTTAACCCCTCGCTGATCATCACCAACTCTCTGCCACCGCTGCCGCCCTTTGCCGCTGCTCTCTACCGTCCGCCGTAGATCTCTGGAACCATTGTCGAGGTCTCAAACACATCAAGGTGGCCATGGTGGGAGGAGGTGGTAGTGGAGAGATATAGAATCGTTGGATGTAGGTGGATTGTGGTGACGCTAGTGAATAAGTGAGGGTTGTGGTGTTGATTTTATTGTGGGTAATGAGTTAATGGTGGTGGTTGTGAGGGTGGAGATGGGAATGGTGGTGGTATTGGTGCTAGATCATGCCGAAATACGTAGGGGTGGTTGTTGGGGTGTAGATGGTGGCGGTGGTTTGGGGGTGGGGATGGTGGTGGTTGTGGGGGCGGGTATGTGTGTTGTTGGTTGTGGATTTTAATGTGGTGGAAGTGCGAATCTAATTGTACGGTTGTAAAATTGATTGGGTGTCGAGGGTAATTTGGTCATTTAAGTATTTTGATAGATTAAAAAAATAGTGAAGGGTAAAATAGATTTTTTAAATGTTTTAAGACTCTGTTTGAATGACAAATTTCACAGGGGGTGTAGTTGTTCAAAAATAAACAAACTTTCATCTGCATATTCTTATCCCAAATTTTAGGAGTGTCTCTTTTACTTTACCCTAAAATTTTTGATCTTTCTGTCAATAAAAAGAGAGCTTATTACTCTTGACATGGAGGTTGTTTCGATGGACTTACTCAAATGTATGGTTCATATGTGAGACAAATATGCATGAGTTATCGTGCCCTAAGCGGCTTGGGATTTACCGGTTGGACTTTGTGAAGTAAGTCATCTGCTCACGGATTTAAGTATAGGAGGGAATGGGAGTTGGGACCATGTTTATATCTTGATTTTGGACATGACAGGACATGGAGTCCCATATGTTCCACACACTATTTCGTTGTCAAAATGTATGGAAGGTTGAGGATGCAATGCTTCATTGCTTTGTTAAAATTCACACACTCTGAAATTGATAGTAGATGCTTGCAGCCTGTTGTGAGGGCGGGTCTTGGCATAAATGGTTAGGTTGCTCAATTTTGACCTCAAAGTCGTGGATTTGAAATAAGAAAATATTTTTCTGCATGCATTGATTCAAAAGAAAGAGAGAGAATTACATACACAGACTTATTAGTAGATGACGCTAAAAAGAAAGAGAAGGAGTTACGCGTTCAACGTATGGAGAATTGCCTCGGACCCCAAAACAAACTTAGTTGTCACAACCTTATGGCCGCCCAACAATAAATCATTCTAGCCACCACTCTCGCTGGGGATAGGAAGTAAGCCCCACAACCCAAAAGAGGCGAAGAACAAATAGAATTTGCTACAAAAGCGGGGCCAACATATTCTTATAATTTTATTTTGGTTATATAAAGAAATATGGAAACAAAATATCAATTATGACATTAATTATATTCCACTCCACATTATATTGGGTATGCTGGGCATACTATGTTATTAGTATGCCAACTCAATAAAAATACATTATTTAATGAAATTCGTTCCACCTATTTATAGTGGTATGTCCGACTCACCCAATATTTTCTCCCAAAAGAATAGGGGATCCTGGTTTAACCAACCATCTCTAGTTTCAGAAAGTTAAATAATTTGAGTTCAATTCAAAGAAATCTAATATTTAATTTAAATTTCACTTCAAATGAAATAAAATTTTAAGAATTTCAGGACTTAATTTCAGTTTTAGCATAGCTCCTAAGAATCTCCCTTGGTAGTTATCACAATCCAGTAGAAGTTAAGCACGCCACGGTCCGTTGATGCCTTTAATATAATGAAGCATTCATTGAGCTTTCTTTCCTTGCCAATTTAACTCCTACAAAATCTTGGTTCATTTTTGAGAAATTTATTTATTTATTTATTATTATTTTTTAAAATCTCAGAGAACCAAAAAACAGAAAAAAGAACAATTTGAAAGTCTACTAAAAAAATTGCCAATTTAATGTAGGACAAGAGGACTGTATGTGCTCGGTGGTGAATTATGGGATACTCCCCACCATCACCGACAAAAAAAAAAAAAAAAATCTAAACATTGTTCTCTATAACAAAATTAAAAGGATACAATTTCATAAAAGTCTTCTATGGTACGTTCCTGAAAACTATTCTAAGAATTTTAAGAAGTTGTTCCTACAAGCATTTTTCTGAGCTCTTACCACACCAGACTTCCAGTCATAATAACATCCATGCATGCATGAAAAAACTCCATTGTCTTTGCATCATCGCTGAGAGGAGATAAAAAGCAAACTGATAACAAACAATTCAATGTTCAACTTACAACTTATCAAAAAAAAAAAAAAAATGTTCACCTTACAACAGCCCCAAGGAGGCACATGGTAAAACTTGCCATACAATGATTGACAACATTCCACATCTCCAGAGTCTCTAATCTCTGCTGGTTGATCTAAATGTGTGTGGTGTATAAGAGAGCTTACCAAGATCTTTTTCTTTTAACTTCAGAGAGTGAGAACAAAAGGTGGGGAATCCTTTCTTGGACCAGCTACAGAACGATAAACGTAAACTTTGTCTGCTTGACTGTCAACACTTTCATCATCCTTCATTACCTCAACATTCAACCTTGGCTTTTCCCTTGCCAGTAGTCTACACCCATTCATTGTCACATTGCAAGCTGACATCCAGAGTGACATTGACTCATACTTCTCCAAACCCGAGAGTAGTGCTGCATTCCCGAAAGGGCAATCCCTTATTTCAAGCTTCTTTGGCTTTGGGCAACCTCCTACCACACATTGCATTCCCCAGTCGCTGCTGCCAGCAAATTCCACTGAAAGTGTTTCTAGGTTTTTGGCATACTTCCCAATATACTCAAATGTGAGGTCTGTTCACAGGCCTGAAACTGCAAGCCTTTGAAGTTTGGTGCAAGTCTTTACCACTGCGCCAAAAGGCTTATCCATTGGTTCATCTGTAAGATGATCTGGCTGGCCCGGGTTCATTATGCAGAGGCGGAAATGAGTGAAATCAGGGCAATTCTGCACTATGGTTGCCACAGCAGCATTAGTCATCTGCTGGCAAAAAAAGAGAACATAGCGGAGTTTGCAGCATCCATGAGACACGGCAACAAAGCCTTACTCAGTCACCCCATGGAAGATATCCTGGCCAAAAGGAACTGCAGGAAAGACACGGAGTTCCTCAAGCAATGGGCACCTAGTTCCCAAGGCCTCCAGCCCCATGTCTTCCACTGTGTCCAGGACCTATACCAAAAAGTGAATTTAGATACTAGAACATAAGAACATATTCTGATTTAGTGTAGGCTGTGAAGTTCTCTGTTAGTCTTATCTACGGCATATATAAGATCCCCAAGTTAAACTAAAATTCAAGAATTACTCAGATTGCTAGATGTGTAGCTCAATAAATCATTCTTCATGGGTTACTTTATTGTTCTTTACTGATACAAAAAGGGCAAACAGATGATTCTATATTATAATAGGACAAACTGGAAATGATAGTTTCCCAAAATTTATGGCAAGCTGATTAGGAGAAAATTTGGAGTTGTTGAAAGTGCACTATGAAATGACTAATCTAGCAATAAACAAGGCATTATCGGCAAAAAAACATTTTTCATTACTTCTGACTAAGACCAAAGGAGGAGAATGATTTTCTAAACAAACTTTGGACGGTCAATTGTCACAACACTATAGCTACTTCCACAGTCACTATGGAAGAAGGCTAGGCGATCTGGCAATAACAATATCCAGAAAACAAACTTGTGTTTTTCATTAGTCAAAGGCCAATCACAACAGATATTTTACCAAAAGGTAATCAAGAATGATCATTGAAAAAAAAAAAAAAAACTACGGAAATTTTTTATGAAGGTAGACTGACTGATAGCTGTGAAATTTACAGGATAATTATTGGTCCTGCCCTCACAC